GAACACATAATTCGTCAGGTAATCACGTCCCCCCCCCTCCCTCCCTCCCAAGCAGAGCTAAAGCTCATGCTGAAGCAGAGCTTCAGCGTAGACTTCTTGAACTCACACACTGGATCGGCGGATTTCGGCACACCCACACACACATCGTACGGTTCCTGGCCGCATAGGAGTTCCATCGAAGGCACCAGTGGCGGTGCTCGCTTGCGCCCCCGCACCCGATCCGGGACACCGATCATACGTTCCGTGGCCCCACCGAAGGCCCTAGTGGCGGTTTCGCATGCGCCCCCCGCACCCGATTCGGCACCCCTCGCACGTTTGTGACACCATAGGGAGCGCCACCGAAAGCCCCACTGTCGCTGTTCGCAAGCTTCCTGCACCCGATCCAGCACACCCCCCACTCACACGTTTCGTGGCCTCGTAGGGAACTCCACCGAAGGCCCCCGAGGCAGTATTCACATGCGTCCCCGCCACCTGGTTCGTCCTACCCCTCACACGTCTCGTTGTTCAATGGGGAGCTCCGCCGCGGGCCCCAATGGCAGTGTTTGCGTGCGCTCGCGCCACAAATTTCGGCACACCCATCACACGCTTCGTGGCCCCATTGGGAACTCCCCCGAACGCCCCAGTGGCGGCGTTCGCCGCCCATGTCATCCCACGACTCGCACGTTCCGTGGCCCCACCGGGATTTACACCGAAAGCCCCAGATGCGGTGTTCGCATGCGTCCCCGCCACCGATTTTGGTCTACCTCTTACACGTTTTGTGGATGCATGGGGAGTTCCACCGACTGCCCCAGTGGCGGTGTCCGCTTGCGTCTCCGCCACCCATGTCAGCACACCCCACACACGTTTCGTGGCCCCATGGTGAGCTCTACCGAGCGCCCCAGCGGCGGTGTTCGCGTGCGCCCCCGCCACCCAGTTCGGCTTACCCCGCACTCGCTTCGTGGCCCCATAGGGAGCTCCACCGAAGGCCCGAGTGGCGGTGTTCGCATGCGTCTTTGCCATGCCACCCGATCTGGCACACCCTTTACATGCTTCTTGACTGCATTGGGGAATTCACCGAATGCCCCAGTGGCGGTGTTCGCATGCGTCCCCGCCACCCATGTCAGCAGACGCCTCACACGCTTCGTGGCCTTACACGGAGTTCCACCGAAGGCCCCAGTAGTAGTGTTCGCATGCGTCCCCGCCACCCATTCGGCTCTCCGCTGGCACGCGTCGTGACCCCACAGGGAGCTCCACCGAAGGCCTCAGTGCTGGTGTTCGCAAGCGCCCCCGCCACCCATTTCGGCCCACCAGTCAAACGTGTCGTGGCCCGATGGTGAGCTCTACCGAACACGATATTCACTAGCGCGCTACTCACAGCTGGGTATGGTTGTGTCTCTTTGCCTGGAATATTATCATGGGGGGCAGCGGGGAAGGCCTTCGAGGCCACGGTTTGAGGCATATCTCGAAAGCTGGCCGCATAAGTATTGTGACTTAACATTCGCCCTCGGTAGTTTTGGGGCAGCGACGCCCGCGCTGGCGCTCAACGGTGATACTCTCCAAGGGCCCGTCCAGGGTCCCAGACCCATACACATTGAAAGCGCCCCGCCGCGCGAAATCCACACGAAAAGATGGAAGGCGGCGCGGGCGAGTTCTGGGACCTTTTGGAAAAGAGCAGTTCACGCGGTGCCAGAAACCGGGGCATACGTCGTCAAAGCAGGAGCACATTGCGTGAATGAGATATGCAGATGGAGAAGCGGCTCGGACGGAGACTGACAGATAGAACGGGTGTTTGCTTGTGACTTGTTGCGCCCTGACTGCTTCCGTCGGCACGCCCCAGGATTATGGCACCGGCGGGCGGCTAAGATTAGAGACGCTGCATAGTACGCACGTGCCGGCGGGAGGGGGTCCAGTTGGAGGTTTGGAGGACCGAGCGTGTAGCGCAACATTTCGCAAATTGCCTGTTCCACCATGCATGATGCTTCGTGCAGAGCGACGGACGGGGCAGGGAAATAGGGGAAAGGGGGCCAATTCGATTTGATCCGATTCGACACCGGTTCTGGTCAGTTCGATTCGGCTTGATTCTGACGGCCCGATGCGACCCCATGCTTGCATGGCGTTGCTGTGCATCCTGAAGCAGCCGCTGCGATTCGACGCAGCCCGATCCGACGCACTTTCCTATTCGACCTCCGATTCGGTGTTGGTTGATATTTGGGAAATTCACGAAGAAACGAGTAACAGAGTGGGGGCCAGATGGAAGAACGACTGAAGAGGCCTGTGCGCATTGTGGCAGCATTGCTGGTGGTTCTCGCCTTTTCGTTTCTCCTTCTCTGTGTCTCTCTCTCTCTGTTATTTATGTTTTTTGTTGTCGTTATCTCTCTCTCTCTGCCTCTCGCTTTCTCTCTCTCTCTCTCTAGCTCTCTTTCTCTCTCTCTCTCTCTTTTTTATGTTGTTCTCTCTCTCTCTCTCTCTCTTTCTCTCTCTCTCTCTCTCTCTCTCTCTCGGCTCAACCAGTCAGGCTCGGATGTTGGCGGGATGACCGCATCACCGGCGCAGCGGCTCGGCCGCCACGACGAGAGCCGCACCCCCTCCCCGTCGCCAAGAGCGGCTCTCTCTCCCTCTCTCCCTATCTCTACACATCCTCCTCCTCCCCCTCCTCCTCCTCCTCCTCCTCCTCTTCCTCCTTCTCCTCCTTCTCCTCCTCCTCCTCTTCCTCCTCCTCCTCCTTCTCCTCCTCCCCCTCCTCCCCCTCCTCCCCCTCTCCCTCCTCCTCCTCCCCCTTCTCCCCCTTCTCCTCCTCCTCCTCCTTCTCCTCCTCCTCCTCCTCCTCCTCCTCCTCCTCCTCCTCCTCCTCCTCCTCCTCCTCCTCCTCCTCCAGGGTGCACGCACCCTGCTCGGCCTGCCCTGCGTCGCCCTGCCCCCCTGTCGTGCTTTCGGGGGGCCGCCAGCTTTCGGAGGGCCGCCTGCTTCCAATCCGTACAGAGCCTCGGCCACGCGCAGAGGGGGGCAGAGGGAGGGGGGAAGGCCTCTTAGAATCGGGTATAGCCAGGACCCCAGGTCAGGGGACCCGGTTAGTAGTAGGACCCCGGAGCCCGTAAATTGGCCAGAGTCATTGAACCAGGTCTCCCGTAGCTGGTGTTTTTCGGGTGACGGCAATCCCGGTTAGTGGAACGGCTTGGGGGGCGCCCTTCAGTACACATCACTAAACCAGGTCCCACTAAACCCAGTTCTGCCAACGCCCGATAGAAGCAGCCCTGCGGGGTGTAAGGCCCGCGCCTTGTCTGTAGGTGTAAGGCCCGCGCCTTCTAAGAAGCAACCCCCTTCCAAGAAGGCTTTTCCCCCTCCCCCTACATCCTTTTGCGCGCCGCCAAGAGCCGGCGTCCAGGTCTACAGTGAAACATGAAATTTGGTATCAGTGGTGCATATGGCTTGATAGATCAGATAAGAGAGAACATAAACGCCATGAACACAAACTGTTGGCGCTCCGCGCGGATTTCTTGGATCCGCGCTAGGCCCCCTTACGGCGCCTCCGGCGCCACCCTTGGCGCGATCCGCGGTCCAGCGCAGATCCAAGAAATCCGCGCGGAGCTCCAAAAGTTTGTGTCTATGGCGTTGTTTCTTCTTCTAGTAGAGCTCGGTAGGAATTGAAACGTTCAATTGAAATTGTCAAGCTCGGTCGTACCCTGTTCCAGGCCAGTCAGCCAGCAGTACACTCAACCACGATTGTATGGATTGAGCTCGTCAGTAAAGGTGTTTTGGACGTCGCACGGTCTTTCATCCTTACGAAGGAAGACGCATCGTGGCGCCTCTTGATGCTATGTGGACTCGTCTTTGGGTGTCTTGGGCCTGTTCGAGGACCTCCCTCTTGTCCCGATGTTGAGCATTGCTGGGGCCCTCTTTAATTTGTCTTGAAGGCCTTTGGGGGCAATCGACGGCGCGTTCTGGGGAGCTCTCATGGACTCTCTTGGGAACATCTTGGCCGCTTGGGGCAACCTCGGGGCTTTCGTGGGTCTTCCTGGACCTCACGGGGTGCCTTGGGCAGTCCTGGTGCAATTTAGGGGCCGTTCTGGGCAGCCTTGAAGTTCTGTTGGGGCCCCTTTTAGCATTATCTGGGTTCACCGCCGATAAGCCTCGAATCAAACGAGAATTTAAAGATCCAGAGTAGGCGGTCGGCTTTTCACTGATGTTGGCTATCTGTGTGATCCAGTGCGTCCGTCTTGGAGATCTTGCAGGGCTCTTTCGGGCGTGCCCCCCCCCCCATTGGGTCATCTTGGAGCTGTCTGTTACCCACCTGGGCCGCCTTGGAGCTGTCTGGGGCGCGTTGGGGGCCTCTGAGCTGTTTTGATTGCATTCGTTGGCGACTTGGCCAACTTCTGCGACGAAGGATGGTGACGGTTTGGGGGCCGACGACATTGGTCGAATGGCTTGTCGATAAGAGGTATGGAGGGCCAGACCGAAGGTCACGTATGACCTATCAGCACGCCGAGCGCCCATGGAAGCGGCCCTTGCCCTCGTGCCCAAGTTGTGGATGACGGGAACAGTGGAAGACGTCGAGGCCAACGGAGCACTTCCAGCCGTGCTCCAGGAGAGATGGCTCCCCGAGACGTGGTCTGGGAGTGCCGCGGCTTCTTGTGCCGTGGGCCCGTGGTCCGTCAAGGGCCTCTTGGGAACCATTTGGTGGTCCTCTCGGGGGTTTCCTCTGGGGCCAACTGGAGGCCCACTGGAGGCCCGTGGGCGACGAAGCCAGCGACGCTGGATCGTGGAGCAAGGCTTTCTGGGGGGGCGCCTGTTGAGTCTGCGAGGCCTACGACGCCGACGACATCGGTGACGCCAGCGGCGGCGACGCCGACGACGTCGAGTCGACGTCGGCGACGAGCTTCTCGACGTGGGCGACGTCGACGACGACGGCGCCCCCGGGGAGAACGACGAGTGTGACGATGCCCTCGGCAACACCCTCGACGACGATGACGACGAGGACGACGACGACGACGCCGACGTCGACGCCGACGCCGACGCCGCCGCCGACGCCGCCAGCGGCGGCGGCAGCGGTGGCCGCCGCAGCGGTCGGCACCCAGCGGGGGTGCGGCAGGCGGACCGGGCGGAGGCCCGCCCCGACCAGCACGAGGCGGGCGCCCCTCTCGCCGGGTCGCCGCGCGGCGCCGCTCGGAGGGGGCGGCAGAGGGGGACGAGGGCGAGGAGGGGAGACGAGGGAGGGGAGGGAGTAGGGAGCAGGGGGGAGGAGGGAGGACGAGGGAGAGGGAGGGGAGGGGAATGAGGAGCAGGAAGAGGAGGAGGAGGAGGAGGAGGAGGAGGAGGAGGAGGAGGAGGAGGAGGAGGAGGAGCAGGGGGAGCAGGGGGAGGAGGAGGGAGAAGGGAGAGGAAGAGGAGGAAGACGAGGGCGGCGAGGGAGGAGGTTGGAGGCAGGGAGGCAGCCTTCTGAGATGGCAGTGGGGGCTTCTGTAAAGCCCCCACTGCCCCGTCTCAGAAGGGCACCTCAGGAGCCTCCGGCCCCCTGCGAGGGGCCCGCTGCCTTCTCCGCACGATTGCTCCCGTCCGCTCCCCAACATGGCAGTTTGGGGGACCTCTCTGAGGCCCGCCAGGCGGATCTGTTCGACTCTAGCTCGGATCTAGTTGTTCGTTCGACTTTGGCTCGACTTCAGTTTGGCTCTAGCTCGGCTCCAGTTCGGCTTCAGCTCGACTCAAGTCGACGGACGTTCGACGCAGCATCGACGCATGAGTGGAGCGAGTGGCTCCAGGAAGGCCCCGAGAACGAGCATTTAGTCCGCACCAGGGCCCTATCGGTCCGATCCGACATCGGTTCAGGCCGGCCCGATCAAGCTCGGATCAGAAACCAGCACGAAGGAAACGGGTCTCGAGGGAAGTGGGCCCTCGTGTTCTTGGCAGTTTTCGGACTCTTCGGTGCCTTCTACTGGCCCATGTACCGTCAAAAAGCGATAGCGGACGAAGAGTTGGCCCTTGGGAAGGTCCCAGTGCTTCAGGACCCATTTCCTTCAAGGCACGGCAATAACATTGGGACGGTCCAATACGGCCCGAAGTTAGCATGGCGTTCTTGTGCACCCTGGTGCAGCCGATTCGATTTGATTTAGAGTTCTCGCTGATGCAGCCTGATCGGGCACACTGTGTCACATTTTGATTCGAACCGACTTTCCGATTCGATAATTTCTGCCCGTGCCTCTTCTGAGATCAGTTCAGAAGCCTTGCGTACGGTCGGCGCGCGAGCAGGGAGAGACATTGAGCAGCCAAATTGTTCATCAGAGGGCGTGCTGGATTGGCAGCGGCTGCGCGTGTTAAACACAGGGAGGAGGAGGAGGAGGAGGAGGAGGAGGAGGAGGAGGAGGAGGAGGAGGAGGAGGAGGAACAGGCGGAGCAGGAGAAGGCGGATGGGGATGAGGAGGAGGAGGAGGACGAGGAGCAGGAGGAGGAGGAGGAGCAGGAGGAGAGAGGAGAGCCACAGCCACGCAGTCAAGTGCTCTGCCTCTTCTGCGCGCCGAAGAGAACGGGGGGGCGGCCCGCCCCCTCGCCCAAGGCTCCTCCCCGGCAGGCCTTGGGCACGGCCGGGCCGAGGTAGCCGCGCCCCGCGCGCTGGGGCAGGCCGCAGGCCTGCCTGGGGAAAGGCAGCCCTGCCTACACTCCAGGCGATGTTTAAGAAAACCCAAGTTTTCGGCCAGAGTCTCGATTACTCTTAATGTTTCAATGTAAATCCCAAGATTTGAATAGACGTTCTAGGTTTTTATTCAAATTCTGAGACTATGAATTTCTTAACCCATGATATCTAAAGCATTTCGCAGGGTGTATAGGAGGACGGCAAGTTGCTCCGGGATGCTGCGGAACGGCCGCGGAGCCCGGTACATCAGTAGGGAAACAGATAATGGCATGAGCATAAAAGCTCGGAGGTCCGCGCGGATTTCTCTGATCGGCGTTGGACCCCCCTCCATGGCGCGCTCCGCGCGCCAGGGGCGGCGCCGGAGGCGCCGCCAAGATGCTCCAGCGCCGATCCGAGAAATCCGCGCGGACCTCCGAGTTTTTATGTTTATGTCATTGCTCGTTCCCCTAATCAGTTCGTTAGCAAGTCATAGGAGCCTGGTATACCCTCGCAAGTCCGTCCTCAGCGTCGGCTAGTGTCTGGAGTCGATGAGACAGCGCCGATCTGGCGACGACTCGCGTCGATGAAGCGTCGATTAGCGTCGATCCGCACATGCCGACAAGATGGTATCGGAGGCTCCCATGAATTGCCGCCGAACATTAGATAAATATTTCACCGCCAACCAGACCACCCCAACCCAACCCGAAGACCCCGGTTTGCCCTCCATTTCCATTTGGGGGGGTCAGAGAACATGGAAACAAAGTACGTATGGAACTCGTACCCCCCCCCAACCCGAAATTCGGGTCTTCGGGTTAGGTTGGGGTGGCCTGGCAGGTAGTCATAGTACACTGAAGTTTCCGCTCGGTTTCAAGTTGAAGGTATATCGGCGAATAGCACGCTCAATAGCGCAGAGCGCCGAACAGCGCTCAATAGCGCAGAGCGCCGAATAGCGCCCAATGGCGTTCAAATCGCGCCAAATAGCGACCACTAGCGCCCAAGAGCGACCAAGAGCGCCATGTGAGGGAGATGCACCATGTCCGCTTCGCGCGCGATTGGGCGCGCTATTGGGCGCAATGGGGACGACCAGCAGTTTCCGGGACTTGCGTTCTAAGGGTGCATCCCCGCTTGTTTGCCAGCTTTGAAAGATCCCCGATATCGCGTGCTGAAGAATTTTCAGCAATATCAGCCAGCGTTGACTCCAAATAGACAGGAGGACAGGAGGAGGACGAGAGGAGGATGGGAGGAGGACGAACAGAGGAGGGGAGCAGAACGGGAGGAGGACGGGAGGAGCTAAATCAAGCAAGCGCAAGCAAGCAAGCGGAAGCAAGCAAGCGCAAGCGAGCAATAACAAGCAAGCAAGAGCCAGCGATCAAGTGCAAGCAAGCAAGCAAGGAAAAAGGCAAGAGCAAGCAAGGGCAAGCGATCAAGTGCAAGCAAGCAAGAGCAAGCAAAGGGTGCCATTGGAAATACGGGGGGTGCCATTGAAAAAAAGGGGGGAGGGGCTGCTATTGGAAACAAGGGGGGGTACCACTGGAAAAAGGTCGGGGGGTCCTAAAGACCAATGACTTATGATGGGCCAATGCTCCTATAGGCCCAGCCTATTTGGAGAACCTTCCGCCGACCGCTGCGAGGTGGATGGGCGGATGCAATTCTTTCCGCTTCCCTGGGTCCCAGGACGGCGCCGCGAGATGCCCAAAATATCAGCAAACATCGAACGAATCGAGCGTCGGCCTTTATTTGGCAAACTCTGAATTGGCGGTCTTTTCTCTTGCATTCCGACGTGGTTTCGACGCAGATTCGACGTGCATTTGACGTGGACTCGACACGGATTCGACGCGGCCGACATCGATTCGTCGTGGGTTCGACACGCATAGTTGTCGCGTTGCGCCAACGAAAATCACCCGACGATTCACTATAAGTCAAAGGAAACCCGTAGACAGAAGTGAAGCAGCGTAAATCTAGTTTTCTCGTGGACGTTCCAAGTCCCATGCTCTGCTCTCTTGGGTAGAAGGGGGGGCCAGCGCGCGTGACACAGCCGAAGTTTTTGCACATAATCTGCGTGAGCGCGCGACCGTGTGCGACTGCACGCAATTGTCATACCTAATAGGGGCGTCGTCGTGGTTCGGACATCATTGCCCTTCGCAGCGAATTGAATTACGCCCACGGACCAAGTTTGGGAGGTACGGCGCGCGTCCAAGAACGGGCCACAGCCCCGATCAAGCAAATGCCTGAGCCCTTGTTGCAGACCAGACCGTTCTTTAACCCGCCCACGGCAACTTCCAATTTAAACAGGGGAGGGGCTGTGGGACATGCAGGAGGAAGAGCGAGGGCTCAGGGAAGGGGGTTGGAGGGACTGTCCGATTCGGTTGGGCGGATCCCCGCTTGGCCAAAAGCAGTGTTGTCTTGGACGTGGCTGCTCTGCCAGGCGGTTCGGGCGCGTGGCTGTCGCCCCACGACTTCGAAGCTCTCGTTTGTTTTCGGGGAAAGTTGTTTCTAAAAGGTTGATGTTGCGTTTCTTCGTGGCTGTTCTACTTGTTGCCGACAAAAATATGTCAGGTTCTTGCGCGACAAAGACTTTTCAGGGCGGGGTAATATCCATGTTGGGCTTTATGGTGTTAGTTTAGCCATTTTCGCGCAAGCTAGGGTTTTGGTTGCCCCGCTCCGGGGAACAAGTGTTTCCATTCAAAATGGATGAGCTCATTTTGCCTCTGGCCTGCGCCGGCTCAATTCGATCGGTCGCAGGACAAGGCGTCTTCGACGGCAGGATTGCCCCACCGACCCGTAGAACAGCGCCGTGTTGAGGAGGGCTCTTGGCGAGCGAAAAACAGCTGGATTTCGCGTGCGATTCGAGAAGGTGGTCGGGAATGTACCGTTCAAGGGTTGTGAGCACAGGGGCCCCCGAAGCGTCGTGTCCAGATTCTTTCCCCTCCCCGCCACCATTGTTTTTCCTCTTCTCTTTTCTAGCATACTCAATCGTTGCGCCCCACGTTCCGGATACGCGATACGCCTTCGTTTCTTCCCTCCTCTTCCACCTCTTGGTTGCCACTTGGCTCTCGCCCGCTCTTGGCCTTGTCGGCTGCATTTGTTTCCCCGGGGCTCGGCGCGCGCAGTTTCTGATTTGTTTCTGCGCCACGTTCGAGCGATTCCCGCGCGCGGGTTTCCGGGCAGCAGCGGTGCCCTCGTGCCAAATGGCCCCGTCACTGGAATTTGTTATGCCAATGTTTTTTCTCATGCGGACAGGTCTTTCAGCCTCGGGCCCAGCATCCTCGGAGGCCCGCGGGGCTGGACCCCCCCCCCCCCAACCACCGCAAAACCCCGCGGCACGCGCCGCCGCAGGCCCTGAACGACTGCCTCATGCTGCGGGAGGCGCCCGGGGCGGGGCCGGCCGCTCCGTGGCTGCCCGCCCGCGCGCCGAGAACGCATGGTAGAGACGAGCTGTTTTCGGCGGTGAGGGGGGAAGTGCGGTAGCAAATCGTGGGGGGTCTCGTATGCACTCGCAATTCCGTCCTCGCGTCGGCTAGCGCCTGCAGTCGAGGAGATAGCGCCGATCCAGCGTCGGCTAGCGTCAGTTCAGCGTCGCTTTAGCGTCGATGCGCATCGACTCGCAAGAGCCGACGAGAGGGCACGTGAGGATCCCATGAGTTGCCACCGACGGGAACTGAGGGGCGGCAGGGCAGGCCTTCGCAGAAGGTGGCGGGGTTCCTCGGGATGCCTCTGGTCTTGTGAGAGGCCTCCTTTGGCTTCGGAAGCGGCCCGGAAAGTTTCCCAGAAAACCAGAGGCCTTCGGAACTTCCTGAGAAGGCCCACCCCCTGTGCCCTCTCCGCTGGGCAGGCCGCCGATTTTCCCCCGAGGATTCTATATGATGTGATTCGGATGGCGATCGCCGGGACTTCGTGATTTTCTCACGCCCTGCATGTTTCCCCGGCGCCGGTAGGTTGTTGCTGCATGGTTTTCGGGAAGTCTCAAGGGTTTTCCGGACTTGCATTGCACGGTGGTTTCCATCAGCTGCACCTCGTCGAAGGCGTTCCGGGAACGCCAGAATCGCCATGATTGACCGCCTGAGGCCCTCAGTAGGTCCGAGAACCAACACGGGGTCAGCGGTCAGCGCTGACGGTCAGCATCGTCAAACCGATCATTTCGGTAGCAAATAATGCGAGCCCGGCGTATCCTCGCATGTCTATCTTTAGTTTATCGATTAGCGTCCAGGAGTCGATGGGATAGCGCCGATTTAGCGTCAGTTAGAGACGATTTGCGTCGATTTAGCGTCGACTGGCGTCGATTTAGCGTCTGTTAGCGTCGATTCGCAGGAGCCGACAAGATGGTATGCGAGGCTCCTATGAGTTGCCACCGAAGGAGTCGGGATCGGTTGAACGATATTCAGACGGGGTCTGCCAATCCCCTCTGGCTGACCCGGAAATCCACCGCCGAACCCTCTGTCACTCCTTCCCTCCTTCCCTCCTCAATATTTCATTGTGTCCCTCTTTTTCCCCCCCCCCCTCTCTCTCTTTCTCTCTCTCTCTCTCTCTCACCGTCTACGTATATTGTAGACGTATCGCTCTGTCGCTCTTTGTCTCTCTCTCTCTCTCTTTTTCTCTTCTGCTCCTCGTCTCCACAATATCTGTGTATATCTGCTTCGCACCTTTTCATGCCATCCTGATGCAGCTTGGCCAGGGCCAGGGCCAAGGAGTGACGAGGCAGGAAAGGCAGGTCGGAAAGAACCAAGCCAGACACCGACTGTTGAATTCATTCACAGCCCGTGTTGTTTTCTGTAGTTTGCGATCCATTTCCAAATCATGTCCATCCGATTGCCCGAATATCTTTAGAAGACGTCGTGGTTGATGCTAGCTTCCTCTGTGCGTTGGCGTGTAGCTCCTGATTGGGAAGCTCTTCGCCACATTGACTGCTACTATCAGTTCATTCCGTTTCTGTACCCTTTCGCGTGCCAGTTTTTCTTCGTTGCGCATCGCGGTCGGAAGTGTTGATGTAGAGTTCTGTGGGAAGGGGAGCATGATGGGGTTTGTGATTGTGAAGTTTCTTTTGGGCAATCCAATTGAGAAGGTAGCATTTTGGTCGCCTCTCGCGTCGTGATCCAAGCTGTGTTAGATAGTCCAATGATTGCGCCCGTCCTTCTGAGGACAACATGTGTTTTGCTGCGATTTTGTTAATGACCTTGCTGCCAATCGATAGTGGGGCGGGTGGGTAACGCGGATCGTAGTGTCGTGCAGTGTCATGTGAGCCGTGAAGGGTTTGCCGAGATGACGATGTGTGGTGGTCTGCGATGTCGTGGTGTCTTTTAGGCGGAGGGCTGCGGCATCGCGGTGACGCATCGATGTTCACGTGAATGTGAAATGAATGCGGAAGTTGAAGCGACAGTGTGCAGTGAGGTGGATCAGTGAATGTGTAAAGCCGATGCTAAATTGGTATGTGTAGCACAGGTTGACGTTGCAGCTGGTTATATTGTTGGTTGAGCTGGCGCCACACCTAAAGCTGTGCGGAGGCTGCTCACAGCCAGTAAGCAAACGCTAAGGTGAATGCGACGACAACGGCGGAACATACACCAAACCCAACACACAAATTATGTAGTTTGGACAAATTCAGTTCAAACGTGATAATGCGAAAGCCAATCGCTCTGGAGCTCGCGAGGAGTCCGACTTTCACTGGCGCCATTCCTGAAGCTCAGGTTGAAACGAAGTCGAGCGTTGAATTAGCACATACTTCGATATGATAGGTAAAGTTGCAGCTGATGTTCCTGCGACACCTGAGCTTTTCAAGTATGGCAGACGCTAGACCTCAAGCTAGCTAAATCGAACAATTAAGCGAACGCAAACCCGACAGCTGAGACGAACGTGAGTCGTCGGCTACATCTGAAGCAACAGCTACATCTACAGCCAGAGCTAGCGCCTGGCTTGAGGGTGTTCGAACGCCTGGCCCGCCCAACTAGTTTGCCGCGTCCCTGCATGAGTTGTTTGTGTGGCGCAATTCCATAGTTGTGATCGTAAGCTCCAGTGCTTTCAGCCGCCAGCAGGTGCTGGCGCACTGGACGCACCTCGCGGGTGCCCTCGCATTTGAGATCTCGAGGGCGTTCTGCGCCCACACTGGCGAGGTCAGCTTCCCTGGATATTGCCAGGACGGACGAAAGGGGGGGGGGGACAGGGAAAGCGGGGGTTACGACATCTGCTGCGTGCAGCTGGTTTCGGCCCGCCGCCGGGCGCATTCCTTGGTACATTGCAGTCTCAGGCGCCAAGAGAATCAGCTAAGCGTGCTGATTCCCGAATCTCTCAAGTGCTGTCCCCCCCTTTTCGTCTGACCCGAGCCTGGGACACTCAGGCCTCTGGCGTCGTGATTGGTTCACCCCGCTTTTGTGCGTCGACTTCGGCCTCCGCGGGCCGTTTTCGGACGCCCAGATCGAACACCAGTCAGGGAGAGTTCCTGGGCGGGCCGACACACAGAACAAAACAAGGCGCTGGAGGTCCGGGAAGCAGTTGAGAAGGCGAGCGCGGAGAGCGGGGAGGAGTAGAGTCCAGATCAGGAATGAGGGGCGGACGAGAGTATGGTGGGACGTCGGAACAATGCACAGGCAGAGCCAGGAGTGAACAAGAAGAGAGGCAGAGGGGCAGAACGTCAGAGCGAGAGGGAAAACGAGGAAAGCGTGGCGATAGGGGATGGTCTTGGTGAGAGAATAGAGGGAGGAAGGGACGAAGAGGGAACGGCCCAGAGGTTAGGGTGAAGAAATTGAGCGGCACTGGGCTACGCATGTACCCGCTTCCTCCATCACGGTCGAGTGCGCATGTCGGAGTGCGTTTGGACCTCCGCCGGCCTGGCGGTGCTGCTCCCCCCCCCCTCCGTTCTCCCTGGGTGTGCGTCGGCGGTGCCGCCCGGCCTTCGCGACGGGGGGCCGCCAGAGGCCGCCGAGGGGCCACGGAGGGTAGGTGGGCGTCGCGGGGCCCGCCGTCGGAGCGCGCAGCTCGCGTCCCCTGCCGGGGTCTCCGCTCGCTGCCCCCGCCCGTCCTCTCCACGACGCAGCAGCCATCGGCCCGCAAGGCCAGCGCTGTCCATCTCACGATCGCCCCCTGACGCCGCGCTTCTCTCTCTCTACGTCTTCCCCCGCTGCGGCTGGCCATGCCCACCCCTGGAGCTCCGAGCCTGCCAACAGTTTCCGAGTTCACCGGTAATTGATTCGTACGTCTCCGATCCTTGTGTAATATATGTATGTATATATATATATACACATAGATGTAGATATGTGTGTGTGTGTGCGTGTGTGTGTGTGTCGACGTGCTCTTGAATAGCAGGTAACTTGTATTTCACGGATGCGGCGCATCCGTTTGTTCCTGCACGTTACGGTAAGAATGGGGCATGGTTCCAAGAGTGCGTTTGAGTAGTAGGTCGCGTGTATTTGACGGATGCGGCGCATCCGTTCGTTTGTTCCATTACGGTAAGATTGGGGCATGGTTCCAAGAGTGCGTTTCTTCTGTGGCAGTTTCGGAGGTCTAACGGTGTCCCCGACGGGCAATTCTAGTCGTTGCCAGCGTTGCCGTCGTCATCTTCTTCGATATTGTTATGTATCCCGGTCTATTGTCAGGTCGCGTTGGGGTACATGCAGGTGGCGAGCTTGTTCGGGTGACCTCTGCGCAACGACGACGTCCGATAACCTCTGGGAGTCTCGGACATCCTCCGCAAAGCGCTCTACCTTCTTTTTCATCCTCATCCTGTTCCTCCTCGTCGTTCTCTTCTTGCCTGCCGCTCTCCTCCTCATCCCTCATTCTCCCTCCTCGTATCCTCTCCTCCTCCGTCCCCGCTCCGTATGCATCGCCCCTCCATGTTGCACTACCAGGCGTGCCACTAGGGCGGGCCAGGCGTTTCGCCTGAGCCTTCCCTCCACGTGTGTATCTCGAGTTTGAAATTTGCGTTTTCCAGAACTTACACGACTGCTATGCGGCAGGTTTCCAAACTTGAGTTCTCGCGTTGGCGCCGCCCACACCCGTCAGGTCACAAGTAGATGTACATATGTATGGCGAATGGTTTGCATTGTGGTGTTCTCAATTTGGTGCCGCTCACATTCGTCTGGCAAGGAAACAGGCTACCCGGATGTATGGCGAGCGGTTTTGAGAATGATGTATCGCCTTGGTGCCGTGAACATTCGTTTCAAACGAGCCCAACGTGTACAGTCATTGAGAAGGGTTATTCCCATTTTTCCTGTGTTGGGTATTCGTTTTGAATAGAGCACTGTGGTTTCCACGTCCCTCTTCTCCCCCCCCTCTCCTCCACCTCCTCCTCCTCACCCTCCTCCTCCTCCTCCTCCTCTCCTCACTCCTCCTCCTCCTCCTCCTCCTCCTCCTCCTCATCTTCCCCCTCCTCTCCTCCTCCTCATCCTCCTCCCCCTCTTCCTCCGACTCCTCCTCATTCTCCTCCTCCTCTCCTCCTCCTCCTCCTCCTCGTCCTCGTCGTCGTCCTCCTCCTCCTCGTCCTCCTCCTCCTCCTCGTCCTCCTCACTTTCCTCCTCTTCTCCTTCCTCCTTCTCCTCCTCCTCCTCCTCCTCCTCCTCCTCCTCCTCCTCCTCCTCCTCCTCCTCCTCCCCCTCCTCACCCTCCATGCTCGTCCTCCTTGTTTTCTTCTTCCTCCTCCATGCCTCGTGACCTCGCCGTCCCCTGGGGGGCTGCGATCTGTGAAACTGTCACCTCTTCTCTGGGGCTCCTGGAAGGCCAGCGGAGAGGTGTCCCACGCAGATCACCACGAGACCTCGCCGTCCCTTGGGGGGCTGCGATTTGGGAAATTGTCGCCACTTTCGTGGGCTCTTGGGAGGTCCAGCGGAGGGGTGTCCCATGCAGATACCACGAGACCTCGCCGTCCCCCTGGGGGGCTGCGATCTGCAAAACTGTCACCACGTTCGTGGGTTTCTGGGAGGTCCAGCGGAGGGGTGTCCCATGGGGATCACCACGAGACTTCGCAGTCCTTGGGGGCCTGCGATCTGCGAAACTGTCGCCACGTTCGTGGGCTCCTGGGAGGTCCAGCGGAGGGTGTCCCACGCAGATCACCCTGAGACCTCGCCGTCCCCTGGGGGGCTGCGATCTGCGAAACTGTCGCTGCTTTCGTGGGCTGTCCAGCGGAGGGGTGTCCCAGCAGATCACCACGAGACTTCGCCGCCCCCTGGCGGGCTGCGATCTGCGGAACTGTCGCCACTCTCGTGGGCTTCTGGGAGGGCCTGCGGAGGTACGTCATATGCGGATCACCGCGACACTTCGCCATTCCCTGGGTGGCTGCGATCTGCGAAACTGCCATCACGTTCGTGGGCTCCTGGGAGGTCCCGCGGAAGGGGTGTCGCAGCAGATCACTGCGAGGCCTAGCTGTCCTTGGGGGGCTGCGAACTGCGAAACCGTCGCCACTTTCGGAGGTCCAGCGGAGGGGTGTCCCACGGGGACCACCTTGAGACCTCGCCGTCCCTTGGGGGGCTGCGATCGGCGAAACTGTCGCCACTTTCGTGGGTTCCTGCGAGGTCCAGCGGGGGGTGGCCCACGGGGACACCAGGAGACCCTGCCGATCCTGGGGGATATGCGAAACTGTCGCCAACAGTACCATGAGGCATGGTCGGCCGGGTATACAAGTCCGGCGGCAGGCGGGTGTGATCAGCCCTGCTCATAGTCGCCCCGTGGACGCACGACCTCCCCCCGTCGCATAGCGCATGGCGTTGTTAGGTCGCACATCGCGGCGTGTGCGAGCGCCGCGCAGCGAATAGCGCATGGCGCTGCCCATTGCCCATGCCGCATCCATTCTTCAGCTGCTTGTTGTTCGTCATGCATGCGGGCACATGTTACGTTTAGCGCAAGGCGGTCTACTGTCATAGCGCGCAGAGCGCTGACCTGCAATGCAAGCACACATCGAGGCGCTGCTACTCCCACGAATTGTGTCTCCAATCGTACCTTTTCCCCATGTTTCCACGCCCCTTCGTGGCCGCTCTCCTGCCAACGACCTGACTCGTAATAATGACGCCGCACTTGTGAAACATATGACTCTCGGCCGACGCTCTTCGGCGAAGCGTTTAAGGACATTTGCGGATCATTCAATGGTTTCTTTTGTGTATTGACCAATCCGATGTATATTCGCCACATTATTCATAAATGTTTGTGTGCGTCCCCGGGCTTAGTTTTCACCATGGAGCGCTCGCACTTCTTTTCGTCTGCATGTATCACCAAAGTGCAAAGCATAGTGCAACAGCTACACGCGTCGAGGGCGATGATGTATTGTCATGTGGCGTTTGTTCTAGACCTGCGGCCAGTCCGCCGCGCCAAAAACCCACCCCGTGCAGCGAACCTCTGAACAAGATCGTGACCGAAGGTTTTTGGCCTGTCCTGTTCTTTCCCAACCTTGCCTTGGTTGGGTACTCGTTCTGAACAGAACACCGTGGTCTCCATCACTCAGTCCCCCCGTCCCCCCTCTTTCCTCCCTCCATTATCCGCCTCCTTGTTTTCTTCCCCTTCCTCCCTGCCCCGCTGATTATTCCCAACCCTCCATTTCTCGGGTATTCGTTTTCATGGAGCACCGTGGTCTCCATCACTCAGTAACTTCTCCCCGCTCTTCCTTCCCCCCCCCTCTTACTCATTCTCATCGTTTTTTTTGATGTCCCTGCCTCGCGGATCATTCCCAGTCCTCTTTTTGTTTTGTTCTCGTGTTGAGTAGGGCACCGTGGTTTCCATCACTCAATCCTCCTCCTTCCTCATTCCTTTCTCCTTTCTCCTCCTCGTTTTTTGTTGCTCTTTCTCCTCCTGCTCTTCCTCCTCGCTGCCTAGTCGGCGTTGGAGTTCAGGCAGTGTGAGCCGCGACGGATCGAGGACTTTCACGGGCACTCACTCACACGACTTCCGCCCCATACATTAAACCATTCGGGCCAGAGAGGGAATCGGGGCGAGGAGGACCGGAGAGAACAAACAAACCAATCCCTGCAACCAGTTCGATACCGTACATTTTGCGATTTACTCTCGCGTGACAGGGTCGTACTCAGGTGATGGAGTTTCCTTGTGTCGCAAATGTCCAAATATCTGTGGAGGATTGGAATGTGACCTCGCCCCAAAAAACGACGGGTCAAAGACGCAGAGAACGGAACGATCCGCCGTACCCACGCTCGGACACTCCAGATTGCCAGGGCTGCCACTTGCAGTCAGTTGATTGATTAAGTGCCGTCGTCGGACACCAGTTGCCAGGGGGAAGATGGATGATCCGGGGTTCGGAGGCAACCGGAGGGACCAATATACAACCTCGAAGCTTTTAAGCGAGTCGGAATATTGGGAACAGTTGCGCCGTGCGGTTGAAGAACAGTTGCTCCGATGGAATCCACTTGGGGTGACTTTGCATTCGCGCGTCCGCCGGTGAGCGAAGATGGACGACAACGGTTCGACGGAAGATGGAAGCCCTGAGGTTCGAAGGTCATCGGTTGCGACCAATGAGGAACTTCAGAAACCCACAGACCCCTGTTCTTCCAGTGATGGAGATTTCATGTGCCGCATCCACCCAGATTCCGATGAAAAACTAGCGTGTGACCCTGAAGTGAATGGGGGGCCACAGAAGCTGAAGACGGCTTTGTTGGAGGAGCTGGCGCTGGATATCTAAGGTCAATTGCTTTCATGCGCCCTATTGGCCCAGTTCTTCATTCATTTGCCCGTCGGCGAAATAAGTTGGGCGACGAAAGCCGGAAGATGGAGGCCCCGAGGTTCGGAGGCCATTGGCGTTCGCCAGCGATGAACCTTGAAAACCCATGACCAGTCTGTCGGAGGACAACAGCCAAAGGCTGGACAGGCGTGGCCACCTGCTCCCCCATGGATGGGGGCCGCTGCAGTCGAGTCGCCTCGGGAGGCGCCGAGTCGGAGCACTGCCGCGCCAGCCGCGCAGAGAGAGCACCGCGGCCGAGGCGCAGACGAAAGCAGGCGCCAGAGAGTGGAGATGGAGGCCCCGAGGCTCGGAGGTCATTGGTTTCAGCCGATGATGAACCTCGAAATCCCATTTGGAAACCGATGCGCCTGTCGCCAGATGCAGGAGAAGGCGGGCTGTTTGACGAAGTAAAGGACGAACCGATCTCTGAGGCAAAGGACCTTTTTCCAGAGACAACGGATGGACTCGCGCGGAGAGGAGGACGAGGAGGAGGGGCACCTCATTAGAAGCGCATATAACACACCTAGGAAAGCATCTACCACACTATGTGGAACAATGTTGGCCACTTTTCCTTCTGAAGAAATGCGGCGCACATTGGTTTCCAACGGCGCAGTTCGCATTTTGCCAGAAGTGTAATTCGCAGTTGCGGGCTGGGAACTGATTGGAGTTCTTGCCAGCATGGGAGACAAGTGCACAACTGCCACCCCGCGAAGATTACGCTCTTTCAATAGGGGGATCACAGAGGATCAACTGAGCGCGTTAGGCGCGGAGGAAAATGACGAAACAGCCTCGAAAAGAGAGCCTCGCGCACTTGCGAGGGCATCTCGGAGCGCAGGCTTTCTCGGCCAGTGCCCCCGCCCCCATCCCGTCTACGCGTGTCTCGTCCTCGGTCTTCTTCTCCGCGCGGAGACGTCGCGCAAATCTTCTGCGTGCGCCGCGCGTATCCCCAGATTTCCCCATGTAGCAAGCGCGACCTTGCAGGGGGCGAAAAGAGCAGAGGCCGCGCATGTCTGGGCGCGCTTGGCGCGGGAAGCATCTGTCTAGGCGCAGCGAGAGGCGAGCGCGCTAGCGAGGGCATCTCGGAGCGCAGCTTGGCTCACAAATTGAAGAGGGGCTCAGGGGCCCCCCCTCACGTGAGGAAGCCCTGTTCGCCAGCGCGCCCCGCAGAGCGCGCGCGCGAACAGGCCAGCAGCTGTTCCCCCCGAGTTGACCCGTAGGGGCTCGTCTTAACCGGCGAGCCTCTCTGACGGGGCCTGCCTCAGCGCTCGCCCCCCTGGAGCCTGGGGCACGCCCCCTGCCCCCGCGCGAGGTGTGGGCCCGAGGGCAATGCGCGTCGCTGGGGATTTTTGCAAGTCGCGCCCCGCGGCTCCTTCGCGGGCGATTCGACGCAGACCCCCTCATGCGGATGTCCTGTCCTGTTTTCCCTGCCTCTGAGGTTCTGCCCAACCCTCCCTCGGTTGGGCCCTGCCTTCTGTCTCCTGCCTCGCGCCCGCGGCTCTTCTGGGGGCTTCGATCTGCGAGGTCGTCGCCACTGGCGCGGGCTCCTGGGTGGTCCAGCGGAGGGGCGCCCCATGGGGATCACCATGGGGGGCTGCGACGCGCGGAACTGTCGCCGTTGTCGCGGGCCCCTGGGGGGTCCAGCGGAGGGGCGCCCCGCGGAGGTCACCATGAGACCTCGCCTTCCCTGGGGGGCTGCGATCTGCGAGAACGTCGCCGATTTCGCGGGCTCCTGGGAGGTCGAGCGAAGGGGCGCCCCACGGGGATCACCGTGAGATCTCGCCGCCCCTTGGAGACTGCGATCTCCGAGCGCGCCGCCAATTTCGCGGGCTCTTGGGCGGTCCAGCGGAGGGGTGCCCCACGGGATCACCATGAGACCTCGCCTTCCCTTGGGGGCTGCTATCTGCGGAACTGCCGCCGCTGTCGCGGGCCCCTGGGAGGTCCGGCGGAGGGGCGCCCAGTGCAGATCACCGCGAGACCTCGCCGTCCCTGGGCGGCAGCGATCTGCGAAATTGCCGCCGCTCTTCGCGGGTTCGCGGGAAGTCCAGCGGAGGGGTGCCTCGCGGGGATCACCGTGCGACTTCGCTGTTTTTTTGGGGGTTGCGTTTTGCGAAATTGTCGCCGCTGCCCCGGGCCCCTGGGAGGTCCAGTGGAGGGGTGCCCCGCGATGGCCAACATGAGACCCCGCCGTCCCCGGGTGGTTGCGTTGCGCGGAACTGTCGCGACCAGTCCCATGAGGCATGGGGGGCCGGGCATGCAAAACCAGCGGCAGTCAATCGCATGGCCGAACACATGAGGTACAGGCAGGCGTGATCCCAGCCTTGCTCTTAGTCGCCCCGTGGGCACGCGACCTATGCCGGTCGCATAGCGCATGGCGCTGTTAGATCGCGCATCGAATGGAGCATGGCGTTGCGAGCGCCGCGCAGCGAATAGCGCAAGGCGTTGCCCGCTGCCTATGCCGCATCCTTTGTCCAGCTGCCCGTTGCATGTGACGCTCGCGGGCACGTGCTACGATTAGCGCAAGGCGTTCTATTGACATGGCCTACATATCGCTGTCCTGCAATGCGAGCGCAGCGCAAGTCGCTGCTACCCCCGCGAAGTACGTTTCCAATCGATCCTTCCTCGCCATGTTTCCACGACCTCTCGCGGTCGCTTCCCCGCCAACAACCTGACTGTTGACAGTGGCGCCGCATATTCGCCACATCTGACCCTGGCCCAGCCTTCTTTGGCGAAGCGACTTAATCGTTCCAGCGATGGCGGTACAGTCCAGCAAAGTTGTCGTTCTTAGCCCAGTGCGCCCAGAGAAACATTCTGGCGCGTTGAACGTTACGAGGCGGGTGCCTCGATCATTTGGCGGCGTTGGTAATGATGCCGGGCGGTCGCTGCGCAGCCCCAGATTGTTCTTCCCGGCATTTGCCGGCCAGCTCCGCTTCCCCATGGAAAAGCGCCGGACATTGGGCAGGCGGGGCCCAGGTTCGGGCATGCCCGTGCGCTACGATCGCTGGCGCTGTGTCACTGAGTTGCTTTTCGAGTCTGGTAGAGTAGGGCGTGTCCGAGAGGGCTTTACGCCAACGGGAGCTTTTGAAGTCACAAAGCACGCGGGCGCCCCTCTGGCGGCGGCTGCGGCGCCTGCGGTGAGGCAGGCGTCGATGGAAAGCCGTGCCCCGCCAGTGCAAAACTTGGAATTGAGCAGGAGTAGCATTATGATGCGCCGGCAGTCCGACGACGAGCCGCGCCGCACGCGCTGCTCTTTTTGGTGGGAGCGGTCGCGGGCGCCAGTAGAAACGATCAAATGCGCGCCTGAAGAATACGAAACTCGGTTCATCGGGTGCGAGCGCCGCTGGGGCAAATATTCCAGCGCGGTCGCACATTGGTCCCAGCCAGAACCCTCCGGCGAGGAGGCAGGAGTGTCGCTTGACCGGGATGCGCGAGACTCCTCCTTGTCGAGCAGCTCCACGGCGTCGAACTGTAGCGTCGCCCGGTAAGGGGCACGCCTTGGGGCAGTGCGACGCGGTAGTGCGGAGCCGAGAATTCCCTGCCCTGCAAGTGGGTACGCCTTGGGAGATAGGCCTGGGCAGATCATGAACGTGACTGTTTGGGCCCGAGTGGTGACTGGCAGCCTTACTTGCCAACGAGAGCTTTGTGAAACATAAACAGGGCGACGACGTGGATCCCAGACAGGTTCCGGCTCAGTGCAAGCGTTGTCTGGGGGTCGGGTGTTGCGTGGACCCGGGACAGGACCGCGTAAGTGCATTGGTAGTTGGTTGGCGTCGTCGTCGTCGTCGTCGTTGTCGTCGTCGTGGTCATCCGCCTGTTTCTTTTTTTTTTGCCTTCCCCCTGGTAGCAGCAGACAGAGAATGAGCGGGCGACGAGGTTATCTTTTTAAAGGGCCTCTTCTTCGCCACCGTACGTGGGAAGCGTGCTCACACTTCGGGGGGGCCGGGGTGCGTCCCCGAATCGTCCGCATACGGTGTTGTTGCATGTTCGGCCTCTTGGGGGCCCCTCCCGCTGGGACCCCCCGGGCCGTCAAGACAAACATTTCGGGTAGATATATAGCCTTGTGGGAGGAGGAGGAGGAAGAGGAAGAAACAGAGGAAACGGAGGACAAGGAGGAGAAGGAGGAGGAGGAGGAGGAGGGGGAGGGGAAAGAGGAGGAGGAGGAGGAGGAGGAGGAGGAGGGGGAGGAGGAGGAGGAGGAGGGGGAGGAGGACGAGGAGGAAAAGGAGGAGGAGGAGGAAGAGGAGCAGCACCAGCAACAGCAGCACCAGCAGCAGCATCAAATGCAGCAGCAGCAATAGGGGGCGGGAGAAGAGAGGAGGATTTCACTTGGGGAGCTGCTCCGTTGGAAAGCAACCGCTTGAATATCAAGAAACTTGCCTGAATGCTTTCTCCTGGGACTTCAACGCCGCGCATCACCATTGCCTTTGCGTTTCGACGATCGTGAACCGTGTCAGAACACAAGTTCTGTAGTTTGAACATCGCGAAGCACCGTATCAGTTGCGCCTTCACGGTCTGGCATCGTACCAAATCGCCGTTTTTGGGGCGTGGCATTAGAAGTGTTTTGACGTGTTGCAAACCATTCAAACCAATGTCCGCGGCCCTAAGGCAAGAATCACATTTTGAAAGGAACCGCCTTGTATCCACGATCTTTCTGCCACTTATTATAACGAAAGCGCGGGGCGCTAAGGCGAGCGCCACATGTGAAAGCGACCCGGCCTCCATCCGTGACGCTTTTGCAAATTCCCAGCTGAAGGATCCGAAATGGTGGGGAAGTCTCATGTGCAACGCCCAGCCCGCCCTACAGAAATGCCTCTGTGTGCGACACGGAGGAGTTACGAATGAGGACAATAAACTGCAGTGGAAAATGATGAGGGTAGGGGGCCGTCTAGAGTGAACTCGGGGTGAACCTCTGGTCCCCGAATCACGTTTTTTTCTCTGCGTCCATCCCCATCCACTTCCTTTGGTGCGGAGGGGAGGGTCATCAGCGCGGCAGATGCGTCTATGGCGCCACGCTGTTGTCATGCTTCTTTTCTTCCTTTGGTGGTGTTGGGGTCTCAGACTTTGAAGCCTTGTTGGTACCTTGCAAACTTTTCCCGACATCCGAGTTGGCGTTTTCTCCACAACGCGGTTCCCCAGATGTCTGGACCCTTCCCCCAGGCCTTGTGTTTCATCGCGAGTAGTTTTGTTGACGGTCTCGCTTGTGATTTTTGTTACGCTTCGAGTGGGTCTGGCTCGTGAGGGAGGCCACGACCGTCGGGTTCCGGGCGCGGCGCGGCGGCAGGTACCCGAGGGAGCCGGGCGACTCTTCTGAGAAGCCAGCCGATGTTGGTGCGGGCGGGGCAGGCGCGGCGCCAGCGATCGAAGGTCGGGGATCGAAGATCATCGAGGGAGGGGGATTCACCCCGCCCCCCAGAATTCGCACTTCCTGAACGGAACAACCCTGCCCTCTTCGATTCCATCCTTGGGTGCGTGTTTAAACATGGTTTCGCTTGTGAGGATGGTTATTGTGACGTTGTTTATCTTGCGTTCTGTGTCCATCGCCATGAGGGGCAAAGGCCATGAGGGAAACGGCTCCCGAGGTTTTTCCCCTGGGGAATTTCCTTGGTTTTGTGCTTGCAGGGGCCCTGGGACCCTCAACAAACGGCTCGGGATGAGAAGGCACCGAAAAGGTTCTCAGGGCAAGCCTAGGGTCCGAAGAGAATTGCGCAGGCATAGAAATTGTTGGAATTGCGCAGGTATAGAAAGTGTTGCAGGCGAGCTGACGGGAGAAGGGAGGAAGAGACGCATATAGTGAAACAGCGTGGTCAACAACGGTGAATTGGGAGATCTTTGGTAGCGAACGGTACGGGTGCTGCTGTTGGTGCGCCTTTGGGGGCCCTCTTGGGGCGCTCTTGGAGGCTTGAGGGGTGCTCTTGGGGGCATCTTGGAGGACATCGATAAAACAAGAGGGAGACTTTGATTGGCCTCGCCCCTCGGGGGCCCCAACAATCGCCTCTCAAGGCGCTCTTGGAGCGCTCTTGGGCGTTCTTGGGGCCGTTTTGGAGCTCTCGTGGGCCTCTCTTGGAGCCCTCTAGGGCCATCTTGAGGCCTCGGATGGCCATCGGAAGCGGAACGTCGAGAAAACAAAACACATTGATCTTTGGACTTCGGGGCAGATTGGACAGATGTTGGCATTTTCGGGGTTTCCTTGGAGGTGTCGGAGGCTTCTTGGAGACGCCTTGGAGGGTTTTTGGGGCCTCTTGGAGCTTCTTGGGGGCCACCTTGAGCGATCTTGCGCCATCTTGGTCCATTTTGGAGGTCGTCTTGGGCTCTCCGAGGCCCTCTTGGACCCATCTTGGGCCATCTTGGACGCCCCGATCGCTCGCGAGACTCCCCGTCCAGGTCCAGGGGGAGGGGTAGGGGGAGGCGTACACCCATCCCCGCAGGGGAAGAGGGAGGGGTGGAAGAGGAACCGCCTTAGACCACCTACGCCAGAGGGCTGGTGGGCTTCGGAGGTTCGCTCGAATTGTTTGGGCCCCTTTTCCCTGGCGCCAGAAGGGCCGCCAGGGAGGTCCAGCGCCGATCCAAGACATCCGCGTGGACATCCGACACTTTCTGCAATATGCTACAGCATCTGCTGTTCCTCGACATCGGGGATCGCAGATCCAGGATCCAGGTGTTTGGTCGTTTATGCTCACTCTGTGGGGTCTCCCGATGGCGACCTCGAAGTCACGGCTGGACCCGCCACGAAGCGTTGGCTTGACTTTGAGTCAGGAGACGTTCAGGAGGGGGGCGATCAAGGATATTGTTTATCAAGGGATGCGACACTCCAAACACGTGTTTTCTCGGTTTCGTTATCTGGAGTGTTGTTTTCGGGTCCACAGGACCACTTTGTGTGTAATGTCACGTGCGCAGGTTAGTGAAACATTGTACGGTTGTTCGTCGTATGTTAGCATTCCGTGAGCGTTTGTGTGTGTGTGCGCGATTGTGCGTGATGTGCATTCGTTGTTGGTGTTACGTGCTATGCTTACTATTATGCTTGCCAGGGGTGCGCCAGCATATATCAGGAACCCAGCATTCCCACACTTTGCAGACAGCCAATGTTGACTTTGCCAAGCAGACAATGTATATTCTGTCCAGTTGAAAGCCATTCATGAAAAGTCGCTACCACATGCTATCTAGCATAGAAAAACTCACCAGGATTATTTATGTGACGAAAGAGGAGTTGGCGGAAGTGGGAAACATGGCGCAGGTGAGTGTGGAAGGGGCGGCGGCCACGAGGGACGGTTACGGTTCCTGTCGGCATGCTCTGGATCGTTTTGAGTTTGGTGATATTGGCAATCCTTCTCGTCTGGTGGTTCTGGGTTTAAGAATGCCCTCGTGGAGACGACTTTGTGCCAAGATGTTGGCCCTTTTTCTGAAAAGGGCCTCAGCATCCAGCTCAAGACTTACAATTGCAGCAAGCCGAGGTTTCTCGACGACCCCAGCACACTACAGGCCGGAGGGTGGGCCTGTAAAGCCGGACCGACCGGTTTCGGAGTTATTGTGTATGACTTGAAAAACGGCTCCAGCCCAGTAGAGGGCGTTGAGGTTTCGATTGTAGATGACGGCCCAACGGCAGGCAGTGTTCATTGTTTCGATGATGCTGACGGCTTTCAGGGGTTGGACGAACACAACATGCAGCGTGTTTGCAAGTACGGTTCGGAGAGACTCGTCTCGACAATTGCGCGGGTGAGACGGGGCCCGAGGGGGGTAGCAAAGGTCTTCAGGCTTCTGAGAGCCCAACTGGTTCCCAGTCTTCACGTTGCTGCGCTAGCACTCATACAGGTGACGGGCTGTCGCAAGTTTTTTCCCCTGGCCGGGGGTGTTGGTGGAGCATATCGCCCTCCAGACCGCTCACTCCTGGCGGGTGGAACACCCACGCACTTGTTGCTTAAATCCCGTCGTCGCTTATGAGGAGGCACCCGCATTTTCGACCGGCAAAGCAGCCCCCTGCACGGCATCAGGTTGCGCGTTTCCAGGGCGCTCTTTGGTTCGGAGTTCATACGGCGGTATTTTCCGATGGGCTTCCCAACGCGTCTCTTCCATGGCAGTTGCATGGCAGCTGGAGATGCGGGATGGATTGTCACGTTCACCTGGATTCAAATCTCTGACCAGATCGTGGCATAATTCCAGTGATTGGTAAGGATGGCAGGATTATGTCGGTGGAGTTCTCGGGTCCTACTGGAGACCGCGTCATTGTGAATGTGCATGTGCCCACCGCGTGTGATCCAGGGGTCATGTATCATCGCCGCGCGCAGAAGATGGTCGCGTCTCCGCATCCTGCTTGTCATTGCGCTGCCTTTGCCCCTAGTGATTGGCAGATATCGCTCTCATGGGGGATGGGGAGTGCTGGCCGATGAGGAATGCGGACCTGGTGCAAGGCTTCAGCGCGATGCTTCCCAGGAAGTGCGCCCCCCGTGGCCCCGTGGTGCGTGTGCGAGTTGCGCTTGCCCGGCCAGATTCGCAGGGGCATTGCTGGCGGATCCACGAGAGCTGCTTCTAGGCGGGGCGCCTTCGGGCCGCGCCCCTGCCGCGGTTGCGGCCGCCATGCCGAGACCGAGCGGCCCACTCTCGATCGCCAAGTGGGTCTTCGAACGCCCCGCCTGTTGGGAGATGGTTGCGGAACCGCTGCGTGACTTCGTGTTCCTAGTGGGCCCATCGGGTAGGGGGGCGACGGTCGAGGGCGCCGCTCGGCGCTGCTGCGGCGGCATTCAGGGCGTCGTTTAGACGCGAACTAGTTTCGAACCGCGCAGTGAGGCTGCACGCCGCATCCATGGCTCATCGAGGTTAGAGAGGGCGGCGTCGACATCGCAGCGCGCAGAGGACCTGCCAAGCTCATCCCGCTTCGCGGAGGTGGTCTGATCGAATGAGTTGGAGAGCGTGGTCCGCGCCCAGATATGCTCGGTCTCTGGCCCCGACGGCGCCCCGAGCGGTTGCTGGGCTGCTCTTGGAGCGTCGGAAGTCCCCTTCCCGGCGCCCGACGAAACGCCCAGAAACGAAAGTGGGCGCCGCCCCCCGACGGCGAAATCAGCCGCGCGGCGTTTCGACCGAGGGGGCGACCCAGCAGACAGGGCGTTTTCTCTCTGATGCCGCGCGGCTCCGCTCGCCCTCCCCCCATCCCCCCTTCCAGAGCGGATGCGAGGATCTTCTCCGACCCTTCCTGCGTCGGTCTCGATTTGGCGGCGCCGCGCGCGGTGGCGGAGGGGCGAAGGGGGGCGGGCCCTGGGGGGGGATGTCCGAGGCAATGCGGGCGGGGCGGAAAGGCGAGGCTCCCGCGGCGCATGTGGGGGGGGGGGGCGACTAAGCGGGCCTCGTGTTCGCCGTTTTTCCCGCGGCCTTGCCCTCGATTTCTTCGGATTGCGCCCGATGAGTTCTGGAGGTCAGGGGCATCCCGATGGTCGCCATCTGTTTCTAGTCATCGCTGCGCCAGGACAGCGCGGCGGCCGCGCATTTTGCGGGCGCCAAGGAGATCAGGCCCTCCGCGGGTAGAGGGGTGAGCATGGCGATCCTGCGTCGATGGCGCCTTTCGTGCCCGGCGTTGGGCCCTGCGCCGATGGCTTCTCGTTCCCGGCGTTTCCTCGAGATTGCCGGCACGAGTTGCCATTGCTTCGATTTCAAAAACATGACCGTGGACCTCGCGCCTCTTCTGCTTCTGTTGGACTCGCTTGCAGCGGCCATCGGGCCCTCTCTGGACAGTAGTAAATGTTGCGTCTTGGTCTGTGGGGTTCAGACCTGGGATGGGCTTGCCGCTCGCGTGAAAGCCGGGGGCAGTAGATCCCAGGAGATCAAATTCGGCGCGCGCGTGCTGCGCCCGGGCTTCTGGGCGGGCCGCGCTGTTCACGCGGTGGCGTGGGGGCTGGCGTCGGTCAAGTTATGGCGGGGGGTCCGTCTCCCGCCCATCCCCCCCCCCTCGGCCCCTCGACGACGATCCGCCCCTTTCACTGAGACTGCTTCGCGGCGCTTCAGCACCGCGCGCAGCTCGTCAGGGCGACCCAGGGGGTAGCTGGACAGCGCGGGGAGTCTCTCCAGATCTTGACGGCTGGTCCTGCATGCTCGCGCACGCGCGGGGGCTCCGGGCGTCCCCGAAGTTCGGACCTTGCGCTCGCGGATGAAGCCGCCAATTGATCGCGCGATATTCGAATGTAAAGCTTTGGATCAAGCTCCCTACGATTTTGAAACACTGGCAGGCGGCATGTCAGACGACGACTACTGCCTCTCCTTGCAAACCTCGGATTGGTGGGGGACTTTAACGAATGGGAGAACAAACGATGCTGCTGCCAGCATTCGCGAGCGCCGTTTTGGATGGTTTCGCAGTTAATTCAGGCCAAAGATCATATCTCCGCGGGCATCGGGTTCAGGCAGCTCCCTTCATTCATCTTCAGGCAGGAGCATGGCGATGGCTCGGCGAGGTCCAGATTTACACTCCGTTCTAGCGTCGGTGCCGGCTCAGGGCGTTGGAGAAGGTAGCGTTTGCTTGCCTAGTCGCGGGCGTCAGTCGGACCCCGTCGATGGGGGGGCGCGCGTCTGCTCGCGCCCGCTGCGAGCACCGCGGGAGCTGCCTTCGGCGCGTAGGGTCCGGCGAGATGCTTCGCTATAAGTTGCGCGCGGCTGTGAAGTCGCTCGTTCTGCAGCGGGCCCCAGGCGCCGCGAATCCCCCGGGCGGGCGGCAGCAACGCATGAACGGCGAGGATTCATGGTTTCGTGCTCGCGCGCTCCTCGGGCCGAAATGGGGGAGTGATCGGGGCATTGCTGCTGCTGCCTGCGCGGGCGCCATCCACGAGACGCGCTTCCGCCGCCGTCCTGGCGTTGCCCGGAGCCCGTCGCAGACACTCGATGTTCGGCTGAGGCTTAAGTGCCAGGAGGAGCACCTCGCGCCCCTTCGCAGTTTCGCTGCACCCCCCAATCTCCCCGGGATCTCGCTCGCCCCTGCTGTTGTGAGTCTTTCTTGTCTGTCTGCCCGCCACGGAGGCGATGCGCCAGGCTGCCGCGACTGGCCCCCTCTGGAGCGGGCGGCGCAGACAGCGCCAGTGTTTGGGGCGCCTCAGTTGCCAGCCCTGCGCCTTCAGGTGAACTCTGAGTCTTTGTTATTGTGTTATCTGCTTTCACGTTGGGGCGGGTCGCTTTCGCGCCCCCTGTCCTTGGCGGCTGCCTCTTCGGCCTGCCCTCGCCCCGCTGGCTGCCCTCCTTGTCCGGCTTCGGGCGGGCATTTGCATCGGTGCCTCGGCGCGGGCCCTGGGCCCGCGCGTCGGCGCCTCGGCGCGGGCCCTGGGCCCGGGGGCCTGCGGGTCCTGCCGCAGCCCCCCCCCTCTCGAGCGACGCGTGTCGTCTTGTTTTAGCGCGCGTTGAGTTGTCCGCGCCCTTGGCGTTCTGAACCAAGGCTTCCTCGCTGTGTCAGTGGCAGTTGTCGGACCTCTCCTGCTGCTCTCCCGCTCTCTCGGCCGCCGCCCCCGCCCTGCGCCCCCGCCACCCCGTGGTTCTGGCGGCCCTTCCGCTGCGCCCCCCCCCCGACGCTGCCTCTCTGCGCTTTAGTCGAATCCTCTTCGCCACGCGGTGGAAGGGGAGGTGCCGCGTGGTAGGCGCCCTCAGACTGCCGGGCACCCGATCCGCCGTTCTGGTGCTTCTCCGCCGTGCATCTCTCGCCCCCCCCCCACCCCCCGCCCGCGCGAGGCTCTCGTCGATACGAGGGGCTCTTTTTGTTGGGGGGGGTTCCTTTTGGGTGAGGTCTCGTTGAAATACGACGCTGTGTGGCGGTGGTTGGTGGGATCTCGGCTGACGGATGTTTGGGCCCTTGCTTTTCTTTTGGATGCCTGGATGCCCTCCCCTTGTCTTGGCCCCCTGGGTGCCCCTCTGCTGCCGCTGCTTCGTCGGTGCCGCTGTTGCGTGCCCCCCCTTCTCCGCGTGCCCCCCCTGCTGCTGCTCCGCGGTGCTGGTGCCGCTGCTGCTGGCGGTGTGTTGGGTGGGTTTTTCGCTTGGCGTTGGGCCGTCGGCGGGCCTCGTGGGACAATGATTTGTGCGTTCCTGTCGCTTGCGCCGCCAGGCATGCACCTACCTCCCTGCGGCCTTCGTGGCCCCCCCTCCTGGGCATGCGCCAGCTTGGCGGCGCGCCCATATGGACAGGCTACATACGGAGCCTGAGTGCGTCCACGGCAAGAAAAACTCGTCCCCTCCCCGCCCCTGATCCCTCCTCCCTCTCCCGCGTCCCTTCTCCTCTCCCTCCTCACCCCCCCTGATATGCTCCTTCCCTTCCCTCCATCCCCATCCTCTTCGCCCCTCGCCCCCCCTTCCCCGCCCCGCCCCCCCCTGCCTCGTCCGTGTCTGCCCCCCCCGCCCCCCGCCCCTCCACTCCCCTCCCTCCTCGTCTTGACCCCCCCCTTGTGCCCCCTCGTGCCCGCGAGGGGGCGAGACGCCCTTCTACGAGATGAGCGTGGGCGCCGCGGAGTTCGTGCCCGGGGCCCGCCGCGCAGCGCCCGCGCCCGCGGTTGTTCGGGGGCGGTGCCTGCACCGCGGCTCCACGGCAGCTCTCCTCTCGGCGGCACCCCAACATACTAATGCTACGTGCGCGTGGCCCCCCCCAGGAGCGACGCGCGCACCGAGAAATCTTACATTGATCTGCGTCGTGGCGGGCGCTTTCTGGCCACACCACTCGGGAAACGATCTACTACAAGGTGGGAGTACTACATGTTCGGCTCGGACTCGCGCTTCCGAGGAGGATATCTAGTATTATAATGTTTCTGTGCGTCCCATCCTCCTCAAGCTGCTTCCGCCGTCTCCTCAGCCGAACGAAGAAACATTATATTATTTCGGTGGCAAGTCCCGGGGAGTTGCCTGGACATGTGTCTGGTTGCGTTTGTTTTGCATGCTGGCTCATAAGATGTGCCTGCTGATGGTTGTGCTGCCAGCTCGATCGCTCCTCCTGCTCGATCCCAGATTGTTCGGTCCCGACGCTTCTCCTTGATCTCGGCCTCGTCGGCCCGTGGTGGGGCGCTCAGCGCCGTCAGAAATGGATCAGGGACGAAATGGATCAGTGACGTCCTGGGGCCCGCGCGTTGAGAGCATCACATTGTTTGATATCTGAAATCCTCGATCTTGGATCGTCCTCTTTCCGAAACCTGAGCTGCCCGTTTTCTGTCGCCCGTAAGACTCTAGGTTGCCGGGGTTCGGGCTTGCCGCCTCGTTTTGAAGGTCCCAGCCAGCTTCGACAGTCCATATTTTTGTTGCGAAATGTCCGCAACGGGAGATGCCGAGTAATCTCGCGCGACTTTGGCCCCGCCGGGCAAAGTTGTCGGAGGAGGGCCAGTGGAAAACCACGGCGGCTCGTCCCACTCAGCCCGCGTCCGTTCAAAGTCGGTCCCCGAGCCTCTCCTGGGGCCACCTTGACCTGTCAGGGCCGCCTACGATTCGATGCGACTCGATTCGATTCGGTCCGATTCGGCTCGATTCGCCGACCCATCGCCAGCCAGAGCCAGGCACAGCGATCCGATCTCGATTCGATTCGGGACGATCCGCTGGCGATGCGACCCGTTCCCGATCCGATCCGACGACTTAGCGATTCGATCCATCGCAGGCCTGCCTGTTGTTCTGAGGCGGATCCAGCCGCGGCGGCAAGGAGCTCCCAGGCGGCTTCAAAACAGGACACACAGCGCCAGGGGACGCCGCCGCCCTCTCGCCTGGAGTCCCCCAACCTCGAGGCGTTCCGTCTCCACCGCCCCCCCCCGGGGGCCTCACGGAGAGGTGCGCAGCGCGGACCGACCACGGTCCTGGGGGGCCTTCCTGCGTGTTCGGCTCGGCGCGTGGCCCTGCCTCCGCTGCGGGGGGGTGCAGCTGGCACCAGGGTAGGTCGGGAGGGCCAGTCGAGGACGGCGGCCGTCCAGGAGGCCCCTCATCGTCACGGGGCTGAGTCCGCCCCAGAGAACGGGTCAGGCTAGGATGAACCCCAGGAGGGGTCCGAGGACCGGTGTTGAGCGGATTTTGGGTCTGGCGGGAGAGCGACCGTTGTCTCAATTGGCCCTCCAAGTTGAGCACACTCCTAGCTTTGAGGGTGGACCCCCATGTCTTTAGTGCTTGGGCTCTCCACCCATAGGGCCTTCGGTGACATGGCTCATGTTCTTGACCCACGTTGTTCTGACCACTCGCCGACTGCACTGCCTTAGCGGACGAAGAACCATACACAAAAAAACAGCCGCCCTGGGACAGGCGTCCCCGATGGCGGAATCCCCGATTTGTCATTTTCATCCTCCCACCTCTTCCTCCTCCCACCAGCTCCCGAGACCTCTGATATCGCGATGCTGCTAACCCGCAAGCCCCAGAGCTCTCGACCCACTCCTCTCTGGTCCTGTTTTTCGTCCCAAACTGTGTCTGTTGTCCGTCCGTCAAGCATGGCGCTCGTACGGCGCATTGGCAGATAAAAGAGGTACTCATTTGCAAATTCACGACGCCACGGTGAGCAAACCGGCGAAGTTGTTGGAGCAGAGGATCCCCGGACACTTCCAGAAATACGCCTAAGCGGGCACATTGGCGAAGTGTGCGAAACAGGGTGTCCGCAGGCACTTCCAGTACAAAAACGCCAGAGAGGCTGACTTTGGGAACGAAGTTCCGGAGCTCTGAAGGACTTTTTACAAGAACCCGCTCGAACAGCCTACCTCACACGAGAGCTCTTATTGAGGAGGAAAACAGAGACGCCACACTTAAATGTCTGGCAGGAGTGCGTAAACGCAGGGTGCTCATTGCTGTTTAGGCCTCCCCCTGCGTCGTCGGTGCGTCCATCTTATGGGCAGGTCGGTGCCGGGTTGGCAAGTTAGAAATCTAAGGGGGCTGCGGTATTCTTGTATAGCGCCGCTTGGCGCCTGCGAGCTGTGGAGCTCAGGGGGCGTTCCCTCGCCCGCTCCAGAACATCTCTATTAGACACTCGTGAAACACATGCGCTAGAATTTCTTAGAACTCGTCTTGAACACTATGCGTTAGAGCTGTCTAGATAAACGATCTCTATCTGCCTTCAGCAGCCACAGTGTTAACAATTTGTACAGCAAATTCGGCAGAGCAATATCATTGTACAGTTCGGTTTTTGTTTCTGGCGCAACTGATGTTGGCGTGCGACCAACACTTTGTATGTGGCCTTTGCTTCACCAAGTCTCGTGGTCACTTCAGGCTTTGCGGCTTCACAAGCCTCGAAGATTTATTTCTTGCTCCACCGCTTTGAGTGGGGCACCTGTGGGGGCAAGAATCACGCCGTCATTGTTCACGCTCGTGCACACGTATGCCCCAAATGTGTTTCAGACCGTATGTCGTTCCTTCATTGATCACGGTGTCGAGTAATGTCTTTAGTGTGCCAGAGTCGTTTCGGAGAAGCATGGCATCACCCGGTGAAGAAGGCCAAGGCCTGCCAGGTACTGGGGTTCCCGTGTGTCGCTGTGGGGGCCGTCCATGCGTTTGTCGATGGCGACAAGCATCACTTTTTGCACAATAATGAACAGGTATGGCGAAAGCGGGGAGCCTTTGGCAATTTCTGCTGCGTGTTTCCGTTGGCTTGAATTGTCAGCTGGATCTTTTGGTACGAAGTTTCTGCACTTGTAAATCGTTGCCACCGCGTCCAGCATGTCCGCCGGAGGGCCAAATCTGCGAAGTTCGTTCAAAAGTGCAGTATGATTTACTCGATTAAAAAGCTTTAGGACCAATCCGGCCGTGGTGTTATCAGGCCCGGTGCTTGAGTTGCTTTCGCTGCTTCGAACATCCGCCGAGCGATGCTCATGGCCCGGGCAGTGCCTCTACCTGGACGGGAACCAAATTGGGTTGATCGTGTTCTTCTCTCGACGCCTTCATTTGGAATCCGTTTCAAGAAACGATCCAAGCAAGCAATTGGTATCCAGTTGCTAGTTAAGAATTCGGCCTACAGTTCTCTGGCAAAATAGCGTCGCCTTTATTATGTAGTACTGCAATGGTAGATGTATGCCGCTCGTCAGGGATATCCTTTTCTTCCCAACACTAGCGAAATAATATCAACAATTCTGCACATGCTTCTGACAAGCGTGCCAACGCCTTCCAAAACTCTGGTGGTACATCGTCTACGCCTTCAGCTTTCTCCGACGGTGCAAGTGTAAATTGGCGGTGTATCCCCCATGTTGTTCTGCCCACTGGGTACACGGGTCGCGTGAGTAATTTTCCAATATACCTTTTCGAAATAATCCGCCAGAGTGTCAGCCCGCTTGGTGCTCTCCAATTATTGCCCACGTTCATTTTGAATGTAATGGTCGTTTCGGTACTGTATTGTGCAATGCGCGCCTTGCTGTCCATTGGCCTCCAGCCAGCTGGGTATCCAACCAATCCCGTGTATCTGTCTGCATCCGACGTTTTGATGCGTTTGTTCGGGTTCTTCTGTTCCACCAGATTGGCCTGCCAGTAGGCCAAGCGTAGCTGTGGAGATCAATTGCCGCCGCGGTTCCCTACCAGCTGGCTGAAGAATCTCAGCTGCGTGTTCCAATGCATGTTTGCTACATTTGGCACGCGCGTCCAAGTCCAGCGCCTCCGTGGGCGCGGCGGTTGCTTCGCAGAACCAGCAAGAATACGCTTCATCCAAAAGTTTGTGATTGACCAACCTATGTCCGCAATATTTTTTTTTCGTTCGAGTGTTGGGTTGTTTATCGAATTCCAAGTCGATCAACATACGTAGTAAAAAATGCCGCGAAGCCAATAACTTTGTCTGGCCTGGCGAATCTATGCCATTTTGTTGCTTGTGCTGTGGATCGATTTGAGCAAACTCATCTCCCACAGGACATATTTTATCGATTTCTGCCCCATAGCAAGTCACGAGCTCTTTTGGGTTTGCTCGAAAAGTCGGCGATGTTGCTCGAAAGTCACGAGCTCTTCCGGGCGATGGCAGTCGATTTCTGCCGATAGGGTGTTGGCGACGGCGCTCCCCATTGCCCTGGAGGTTTCCAGCAGAAGGTCCCTATTCAGACATTTTGTGCGTTTGGGTCACGTGTTTCGAAACATAGGGTCGCCTATGATGTCCTCGCCGTCAGGCTTACTTACGATCATAAAGTCGAGCATTGATGTCACCAATATCCAAGCTGCAGACATGTTTGTTCGGTGCCGGGCAGATTTCTGCAAGCTGGTCGAAGGAGTTGCGCCGGTTTTCATAATGGTGATCTCGAGGAGGAGTTTAAGCAGATATGATGTTTCGCACCCCACCCCGAATTGTGAGTTTCAAAACGGCGTTCCTGCCCCGAAATGAGCTTGTAGTTGACAACCGACTTGCTGGCCCATGGCCCCATGGTGCAATAAGAAAGCCGACTCCAGAGTAAAATCTCCCATCCTCTTGCGGTTGTCTCAAGACTAGCGCACACTAGTTGTCCAGGTCATCAGTGTGCGTGGTGATCCCTGTTTTTGCATGCGTAGGACAGCGATGTTGTGCTTGCCCATGTAGTTGTCCAGTTCTGGCAGCTTCACCCTATCTTTGCCTAAGACGTCGACATTACAGCTGCCAAACGATTATTTGCAAAGTGGCAGCAACGAATTGCTGCCGTAACGTGCGTGGTGCCGGAGTGCCTGCTCTTGGTGTATTTGTTTATCCCATGTTTTGCAGCGCCCCTCTCAACGCCATGTTTTTGAACGTGTGGTGGCCGAGAACGTTTCTCAGGTACCAGTTGCGATGAAGTAGAAGATAAAGATATTGCAGATGAGGAAATCCGTATGTCAGGTTTGCTCTGCCTAGTTCTGTAGCACGATTTCCCTGTGGTGCTGGAGCGCGTACATGAAGCGGACCAATGCTAAATGTAATTGTAATTTCGCCCGGAATCTCCATTTCATCCAACTCGGTGTTCGCGTTTTTGCCGAGGTTCCAGCATTGGTAGCAACAACAGATTTTGTAGTGGTACGGTATTCCAGTGTTGGCCGCGTTTCTTGTTTCCCGGCCCGTTTGGATGAGTTGTTCATGATTTGTTTCATGTCGTGAGTGTTACGGGTTCTTTGAATTAGGGAGTGCGAATGCAATGTTTGCCATGTGTCCCAATTGTGAGCCCAAATAGTGAAAGCCATGCCCATAACGTTGAAGTGCATGAGCCCATAACGAAAGTTGCGGGCTGTCCAGCAATGGTGGACGATCTGGCGTGGCCCACACCGTGCTCATATGTCGCGTGAGTTTGGCACCACGTACTTGTGCCATTGTGCTGTCCCTGTCCTCGGTGTTGCCGAACTCGCAGAACAAGAGGTTCCCAAAGTCCATTTCCTAGGAGATTTCCATGTAGGTGGTTGCAGTCGTTGAACCTTGTGTTTCAACCAATCTGCCGCCATTTCAACCAATCTGCCGCCATTTCGAATTAGCCACAACTGCTGTATTAGTTCTTTTGTCGCTGGCGGCGTTCCTGGTAGAACTCCGATATCCTGTTTGCGGCCCTCCGCCCACCGACCTTAGTGCAATTTACAACTTGATCATGCTTTGTTCCATCTCATTGGTAGTGTTGTCAATGTTGGACGCGAGTATTTATATGTCTTCGACATTAGTTACATTGTCTTGCAATTGTTAGATTTAGTAGTAGGTCCACCGTGCTCGTCAAATCTTCGTGCGAAGTGTTGCTTTCAAGCACACGTGTCGTTTTTGATAGAGTGCAGGTGCTCATTCAAGATAGTGTCGAATGTAACCGCAGTAAGTCCAGCACTCGACGCTTCCTTAAGGCTGTGTGGTGGACTTGTTGATGTCGTATTCTAGTTGTTGCATTTGCCCCGCCATGCAGGAGTCGTAGTGGTTCTGCAGTTGCTGAAACGGGTGCTGCAACTTACATCCCCATCCAGCTCGTTGAGTTGGCTGGCAACACGAACTGTTTTTGCAGCTGGAGGTTCGATGTTGTTCGTCTCGGGCTTAAGCAAGAACCGCACCCGGGTACCTGGCGCACTGGCCGCCACCAGCACTCGAAGAAGATATCGCAGCCCAGAGAGGTGGTGTGAGAGATGCCCAGATAGCGCGTGATGTTTTTGGTTAGCGTGGACAGGGAGGGGGGTAAACATGGGTCAATGCCACTAACACCCTGGACCTTGAGCCAAATGCTACTTGAGCCAAATCATTTGAGACAACTGGCTTGAGCCACTGTCGGTCCTGGGGCAGGGGAATCATCTTTGGAATGTAAAAGAGGGAAACGCTTCGCTGAATATGCCATGACGTCGGAGGTCTGGGTGTCCATCCTCCTCCACTTGACTCGATCAATCCATCGGCTTTTGTTGAAGTCCAGATCGGGCAGCTGTGAACATTCGTCGCAGGGGCTTCGTGGATGGCTCAGATTCCAGAGCGCCTATGCAGTCCTCTGGGACTTCAGCTGGAGAAGAACAGGAGCTGGCATTTTGCGCTGTCCTGGACCAGCCCCTTCTGTGCGCGACGACATCCGTTATCCCGGGAAGTCGGTGCCTGTCTGAGCCCCAATTTCGTTCGGATGCCTCCAGAGTATATAATTAAGTTGCTGAAGGCCCCCAAGACGCTTCTGGAGCTCTCTGGAGCTGTTTCGGAGATTTTTGGAGTAGTAGTTGTGTCGTGGTTTTTGGCCCGTCCCGCAAACGTGCGTGCCTGAGTTGTGAGCCAGATGCCTCTTGGATGCAATGCTTCTTGGGAACCTCTTAGAGCCACTTTGGGTGCCTCTTGGAGCGTCTCGGCGGCGCCTTGGGGCCTCTTGAGGCGTGCCGTTGGTCTCAGTGTCGATCTTTGGAGGAAGGGCTCGACATGCTAAGTTGGGGAACGAGGAGCAGGAGGCGGAGGGCGGTTCGTGCCAGCCCCCCCAGGTCCCGTGGACAGCGCCGAATTATCGAGGCCGCGCGGCCGCTGACGATGTCATTGCCACGCCTGCCCCCCATCAGGAGCAGAGCGCGGGGGGGCGGAAGCGAGCCAGATGTCATGGATTCAGTGGACCAGGATGGCGCCGAGGATGGTCAGGCTACGGGGCCATTGCTCACAGACAGCACCCCCCTGATATTCCCGGCTGGCCTCAACAGGCTCTCCGAGTGGTCTGGGGCGGTCTCGGCACCCCAATTTTGGGACGCGGAGCGCCACACATGGGCGACGCCGGGGTGTTGGGACCTTCCCGTGCTATTCGGAGGCCTGTTGAGGCCAGCTTGGATTACCTGGGGGGCTGTGTGTGTCCAACCCGAATTTTTACCAGATGAGAGTGCAAGGCGTCAGAAGCACAAGGAAATGGGGCATAGGGATGGGAATTTGATGATTCGCGTTTCCGGGGCGCTCTTGGCCGTTTGTGGGTCTCCTGGAGTCCGTATGAGGCTGGATACGGGCAGTAGCAAGCAGCCAAGCGGCGCGCGCGCGTGGGCTTGGGATTTGGAGAGACCGCGTGCGGCACGCCGAAGGAGGAGCCGGCTCGCCAGCAGGTGCCCCCACGGGGAGTTCTTATCCCCGACGTTTTTGGGCTCCCGCTTGAGCTGAGGGGCTTCCCGCGAAGTCTCGAGTCGACGGGCCGATGCGCCCCAAGCATGTCTCATGCCAGGAGATTTCGCCGCATGCCAGGATGTTTCATGCCAGGAATGTTCGCCGCATGCCAGGAAGAGAAGGAGGAGGAGGCGGCAGAGGCAGATTAGGAGGAGGAGGAGGCAAATGCAGGAAGAGAAGGAGGAGGAGGCGGCAGAGGCAGATTAGGAGGAGGAGGAGGAGGCAAATGCAGAGAAGGAGGAGGAGGAGGAGGAGGAGGAGAAAGAGGAAGAGGAAGAGGAAGAGGAAGAGGACGCGTAGGAGGATGAGGATGAGGAGGCCTTCTCATGCCACTCACGCCAGGGTGGATCGCACGAGGTGCGACCCAGCATTGGCCGGGGGAGGGGGCACAAGCAGCGCCCCGCTAGGCGCTGGGCCGTGCGCCTGCGGTGTCGCGCCGTGCTTGCAGCCTCGCCTCCTTTTGGCAGTCGGCGCGAGCAAGCCAACGAGTGGAGGAGGAGGAGGAGGAGGAGGAGGAGGAGGAGAGCATAGGGAACCAGCGTACGTTGAACCAGTGTACTTTGAGCCATGAAGCGAGATGTCGGGTGATATTGGTTTGATCACGGTTGCGCAGTAAGCGCCAAATTGCAATCACACATCGAAGAGAGCCATGCCATGCATCTTACAGCTTGATTCAGCGTGCACATGTTACGGCATGTCTTTTTACAGGAGGGGCAGCGTGGCTTCTGTTTTGGTCGACCTGGCGTCCCATCGTATCTTTCACGAGTCGTTTTTTATTTTCTTAGAGACTGGTGAGAACCTTGGGAGACCAGAAGTCCACAGCGAGTGGAGCGCCAGGGCGGACTGGCGGGTCCGGCATCAGCTGGCCGCGGCGCGACTCCATGCCTCCTAAACGACCCCCTTGCCGCGCGAGGGAACGTCCCGACGCAAGGGAACGTCCCGACGCAGATGCCCGTCGCCCAGGATCGGCGCTGCCCCACCTCAGGCGATGCAAGTTGGTGGCGCGCACAAGGGAGTGGCGTGAGCGGGCTGGTTCTCTAAACGAAGGCGGGCGGCTTCTGAGAAGCCCTCCCTGCTTCTTACAACGTGCGCCCCGGCTCCCCCGTCCTGCCTTGCGGGCGCCCTTGGCGGCGAAAGTGCCCCTGGGGACCTTCGCCGTCGTTTGTCGTCGTCGTCGTCGTCCGTCGTCCGTCGTCCGTCGTCCGTCGTCTGTCGTTGTTCGTCGGTCGTTGTTGTAATTCGTCGTCGTCGTCGTTGTCACGGCCCCGGCCCGGGCCCCGTCCCCAGACCTGGCCCCTGCTCTGGTGCCGGCTCCAGCTCCGGCCGCGGCCCGGGCCTCGCCCCCGGCCCCGGCTTCGGGCCCCGGCACCGGCCTCGTCTTGCTTGGGCCCGGGCACCGGCCCCGTTATTCCTCGTCCGACGTGATCTCGGGCCGCTGCCCTAATGGTTCTCAACCCGTTGAAGATTTATTGCTCTTGAGCTCACACTGAGAGCCTGGCGCCCCTGGCGCCACACCCCCTTCTGCGCGTCGCCGTTCAGAGGGTTCGAGGAGTCGAGGGTGCAGGTGGTTTCGACGTGACGGAACACGTTCCGACTCGAGGCTTGGCGAGTGGCAGGTGGGAGGAAGAGGAAGAGGAAGACGAAGGAAAAGGCGGAGAAGAAAGAGGTTGAGAAAGTGGAGTATTAATTGGACGAAGAGGAGGAGGAGGAGGAGGAGGAGGAGGAGGAGGAGGAGGAGGAGGAGAAGGAGAAGCAGAAAGAGGAGGAAGCACGATTTAGCCACGTAGCCAAAGTCTAAGGAACGAGTAACGTCAAAAGGAGGAGGAGGAGAAGGGTGGGAGGATGAGGAGGTGACATCTCGATACCGACGAATGGCTTCACCCGTCGCATCGGCGGGCCGACGGAGGAGTTCACCCAGGGAAAGACGACCACGCGGACCAACATAGTGCTGGCTGTGGCGAGTATCCGTCAATGTGTGCTACACCATTGGCACAAGAAACACTTACACGCTTTCTCCAAACACGCGGACATTTGAACTTCACGATTGACTTGGTTAATTGTGTAACTGTGCATGCATATTGGTTTTGTTATGCGCATATTTCCATGTTCAGTCGTAATCGCAAGTGGTGCAGTATTAGGGGGACCGTCCAACAACGGTGGCCGAGGGCATCACCCCTGGCGCTGTTCGACGAGCGCGCCTGGTTTCTACCCCCGACGGCGATTCAACGTGATATTCGTGGGTCTTTCGCTCTGGGAGCCTCGTGGAGTGATCTGGACGTTGGGGCCTCTAATGCCATCTTTGGGCCTACATGCTGAGGCCCTCTTGGGGCCTCCATGACATCTTGAAAGCCCTCTTTTAGGGTCTCCTGGGGTCCTCAAGTGGCCCCGCCCTTGATTCTGACGACCCGACTCATCTCCTCTTGGGGCCTTCTTGATTCGTGGGGCCACATTGGAGCCTTGATGGCCCCTTTTCTGGGCCATATTGTAGCCGTTTTGAGGCCTCAAGAGCCCGTCGGAGCCGAACATGCGATCATACAAGGGCGTGCGCTATGCGTGCTAATTTGTGTTGATGAGTAGTTGAATGGGTGTGGCAGCTCTTCGCCTGCTGGGCGCCTTGTGGGCGCCACTTGCGCTTGCGAGTGAGGTGTGTCGACATTTCCGGGCGCCTCGTGCGCTCGCTGGACGGTTGCTCACAACAAGCATGTTCATCGCGTGGAATGGAAGAACGTTTCTGTTGTAACGTGTGGTGCTGGCTAGCTGCAGATGCGTGACGAATGCTGGACGGCGGTCGGCTGGATGCAGCTCTTCCCTGCCTTCGAATAGTTGGTGTGCCAACGGCAGTTGGCACCGGCTGCAGCCCATGCTGGTGGAATGCAGCTGCACTCCGGGACCGCCTGCGACGGGGCCCGGCAGCCCACCGTGCTGGCAGCGGAGCGGCCCCGCGCTTCTGAGCCGCCGCTTGGGTTTAGGGTTTAGGGTTTAGGGTCTACCAGGCGTGGCCACGAGGACACCTTGACCGCGAACCCACCTGCGGTGGCCGTCACTCCCACCCGCAAGCCACCCCACCATAAAGATCATCTCTCCCCTCGTTACAACCACATTGAATACAACGTCGACGAGTACCCTAACGGACGGGACGGGTCGGGCAGGCGAAACGGACGGGTCGGGTCGGGCGAAAGAGATTCTGCACGCATGCGCAGCAAATGCTATTTTGTAGAATAGATGGATCGGCTCGCAGCGGGGGCCGGGCACTTTGCATTGTAAAATACGAGAGATTCTGCACGCATGCGCAGGAAGTGATATATTTTGCAGTAGATGGAGCCGGTTTACATAACGGGGTCGCAACGGGGACCAAGCACTTTGTATGGTAAAATACCGGAGGTTTTGCACGCATGCTCAGCGAATGCCATTTTTTGCAATACATGGAGCCGGGTCGCAACGGGGACTGGGCACTTTGTAATGTAAAATACACGAGTTTCTGCACGCATGTGCAGCACATGTTATTTTCTGCAGTAGATGGAGCCGGTTTGCATAATGAGCGGTTTTGTAGTAGTCAGGGTTTAATAATTATAGGGTTAGAAATTTAATGTTTAGTGTTTACTAGGCGTGGCCACGAGTACACCTGGACCGCGAACCCACCTGCGGTGGCCGTCACTCCGACCCGCAAGCCACCCCACCATAAAGATCATTTTTCCCCTCGTTATAACCACGACGACGGCGACGACGACGACGGCGACGACTGTTGTGCGATCCAGTTGGCACGCGAGTGCTCGAACGGGCGGGAAGAGTCGGGTCGGGCGGAAGAGATTCTGCACGCATGCGCAGGAAGTGCTACTTTTTGCAGTAGATGGAGCCGGTTTACATAACGGGGTCGCACTTTGTATTGTGAAATACAGGAGATTCTGCACGCATGCTCAGGGAATGCTTTTTTTGCAGTAGATGGAGCGGGGTCGCAACGGGGACTGGGCACTTTGTATGGTAAAATACAGGAGATTCTGCACGCATGCTCAGGAAACGTTATTTTTTGCGGTGCATGGAGCCGGGCCGCAACGGGGACTGGGCACTTTGTAGTGTAAAATACACGAGTTTCTGCACGCATGTGCAGGACATGCTATTTTTTGAAGTAGATGGAGCCGGTTTGTATAACGAGCAGTTTTGTAGTAGTCAGGGTTTAATAATTAGAGGATATAGATTAGAGACTTAGGGTCTACCAGGCGTGGCCACGAGGACACCTTGACCGCGAACCCACCTGCGGTGGCCGTCACTCCCACCCGCAAGCCACCCCACCATAAAGATCATCTCTCCCCTCGTTACAACCACATTAAATACAACGTCGACGAGTACCCTAACGGACGGGACGGGTCGGGCAGGCAAAACTGACGGGACGGGTCGGGTCGGGCGAAAGAGATTTTGCACGCATGCGCCGGAAATGTTATTTAGTGGAATAGATGGATCGGCTCGCAACGGGGGCCGGGCACTTTGTATTGTAAAATATTGGAGATTCTGCACGCGTGCGCAGCAAGTGCTATTTTTTTGCAGTAGATGGAGCTGGTTTACATAACGGGGTCGCAACGGGGACCAAGCACTTTGTATGGTAAAATACAAGGGATGCTGCACGCATGCTCAGCGAATGTTTTTTTGCAGTACATGGAGCCGGGTCGCAATGGGGACTGGGCACGTTGTATTGTAAAATAAAAGAGTTTCTGCACGCATGTGCAGGACATGTTTTTTTGCAGTAGATGGAGCCGGTTTGCATAACGAGCGGTTTTGTAGTAGTCAGGGTTTTATAATTATAGAGTTGGAAATTTAGGGTTTACAGCAGGGCGGGCAGATCCCAGCCGCTTGCAGCACCTCGTGCGGCACCTCGGGGCCTCCGGGACCATACGTGTCATGAATTGCTACGGCTGCGCGGGAGGGCGTCCTGACTCCGCGGTGAGCGAAGGGGGGAAGGCCTCCTCAGAAGGCGGCGGGACTTCTCAGAAGCCCTCGCGCCTTCTGAGAAGTTATTTATTGTCTTCGGGGAAGGCTAAAAACACTTCTCGGAAGACCGGGGGCCTTCCGAACTCTCTGAGAAGGCCTTCTCCTTCTCACTTTCACCCTCGGTCGCCGCCGACTGACGCGGAGCGGAACGCCGAACATCTTCGAGGCTGAGGAGTGTCCCCGCGGGTTGGGGGACGCCCCAGCCTTCGTCGCTGCCGACTTGAACTGCCAGTTGGCCTCCTCGGGGCTCGACGGACTGTTGCCGATGGCGGGGTGGCGGGATCTGCTCGGCGCAGCGGGCCCCACATGCATCCCCTTGCAGAGGGGGGCCAACTCGCATCGACCGCGTTGGGCAACCCAGCGGCGCAGGACAGTCTGTGGGGCTCCGATGGGGCCTCGGCCTGGCCACGCATGCGGCAGCTGATGACGCTCGAGGTGGGCAGCCCCGAGCGTGCGCCACTGCGCCAGCCCGTGCCGCCCCTGGACGGGCGCCCCGCCGAGGGCTGGACCCCGCAGTGCGCTCGTGACATGGCCATCTAGGCGCTGCATGGTGGGGCGCTCCAGCAGGCGCTCGACAGGCAGGACCTCGACGGTGCTTGGGAGGTCCTTAGCCTGGCGATGCGGACGGACCTGGCTCTCGGCCCGCCTCGGCAGCCCGACGGTAGTGGAGAGGCCGCACGCGGCGAGTGCTTGGATGACGGAACGCCCCATGGCGCGCGGAGGTGGAGGTGATGCCGCCAACGCGGCTGCTGATGCAGCGGGGCTGCGACTCTGGCGGCTTCGCAGCCTCCAGATGTGCTGCGCTCCGCCGCACGTCCCCTGCAACAGCGGTGGCCGCTTGCGCGCTAGCTCCACCCTACGCGCGTTGCGTGCCGTAGACGTCTGGCCACCCTGCCTGGGCGGCCATGCCTGCGGAGCTCGCGCCACGAGGCGCGGTGCCGGCTCTCGTGCTCGATGGTGCTGAGGCGGCGCGGCGGCAGGCTCGGAGCCCTGCCGGGTGCCGGCGGCGAGACGAATGGCGACGCCGGGTGCAGGACGCCATGGCCAGCGGGCAAGGGCGGCTGCATCGTGGGATCCGCGGTGGTGGGGCGCTGCGGCCCCTGAAAGCTTCCCAAGAGGCCCACAAACTACCCCCAAGAGGCCCCCAAGAGCGCTCGTCGTCGTCGTCGTCGTCGTCGTCGCCATTCAGGGTCGGCGGCACCAGCCGTTGGGGGCAGAGCTCGTGCCAGCGCCGGCCGCTGTGGGGGCTGCCGCGGCGCCAGCGCCAGTTCCAGGCCGCAGGACGTGGGCCTCCGCCCTGCAGGGAGGCCCCGCCGCGCGGCCGCGCTGCTTCGAGGGCCCCTGGCGCGCTCGCTGGCAGCAGCCGGCGAAGGAGGACGGGAGGATCGAGGGTCCGCGATCGTCCCCTCTCGATTCGATCGTCGACCGCTTGTCTTGCCCCCCCCGCTGCGCCGGGCCGGGCGTGGCTCCCGAGAGGACCCGTCCATGCAGTTCCAGTGACGGCGCGGCGCGGCGCCCCGACATGTTCCAGCTTCGAGGGCGAGGATCTTCCTCGCTCTCGTTCTGCCTCCTCCATCATCCTTTTCTCTCCCTCCGCCTCCTCCTCCTCTCTCCCTCCGCCTCCTCCTATCGCCCTCGTGAGTGATAATGTGGTCACCCCTAGTTGAGCGGTTGGTCTCTCCCTCATCCCCCTCCTTTTGTAAGGAACAACCATGGCGGGGCGTTGTTGCAGGATATGTTCCCTAGGCTTCTTGGAAGGCGGCGGAGGTTCCAGCACGGTCATAAAAGCTGGGTGTACCTTGGGCCAAGAACACCTTTGGCAACCTACAATGCTTTGTCATGATCGCTCTCCGCCTCCCCCAGCCAGTCTTGGCAGGTAATGTTCTGGGGGCTCCAGCGCTTTTTGATTGATTCAGGCTCGCTGTGGGGCCCACTGTGGTGCCTTCATTTTCGGAGAGACTCGCTCAAGAGAAACATCTCCCACGCAGCCTCCTGATTGGAAATGGCCGTCATCCCTCTTCTTCCGTCCACTTCGCCTCCCTTACCCATATCAGGCCAGACGAACGGGGGGTTGCGAAATCTGTTGCGTCCAGCTCGTTTCGGCCCCGCCGCCTGGCGCTTTCCTCGATACATGGGCGCCGCGGCGCCTCCCGCATTGGGAGGCGCCGTGAAAACATGTTTTCTGATCTGACTCGTCGGCCACATTTTACTAGTCCCCCCCCCTCCCTTTCGTCCGACCCATCCATCTCCTCCCTCCTCTTCTTCCCCATTACCTTCATTTTATCGTCAGTCTAGCGCCTCACCCGCTCAGACGTATTGTTTCAGACTTCTTCTTGGCTCAGAGTGGGCGCTTTTGTGCCATTCGCTCTGAGAATGAACCATCGCCGCTGTTATACATTGTCGCAAGGAAACCCTTGCAGGACGAATTCCAAAGCATACTCAATATTATCTGGATCGCTTCGACATCTGCCGCCTTCACCCCCCCCTGATTGCCTGCACGGCTTGGTCGATTGCGTTGGTTCTTTTGATTGGCTGGCTGGTCGGCATGCTGGCCATTCGGCTGGCTACCCGTAGCCGCAACCAGTTTGGCTCAAGCCATTGTGGCTCAAGGTTTCGGCTCAGGCTGCGCCAGCCCCCTGCCTGTGCCTCCCCGCGCTGAGTTCGGGAGTGCAGCGCCGCGCTGGCAACTCTGGGTTCGCCTCTGCGGCCCGACCAACACCTGGCGAGCAGCCTCCCCTCAGGAGGCCGCCTTTCGATCTGCGCCGCGCCAGAACGGGCGTGGCAGTGACACCGCCGCGCCGAATGCCAGCCGGCCCTTCCAGCTCCTGCGCGTGGCACGCGGCGCCGGAGCGTTTTCTCGACAGCACGGGGCCGCCCCTCTGGTCGCGCCGATTGCGCCGCGCGGACGTGTCCACACACGAGAATCCAGTGCCGATAGGACGCCGCATTAGGGTTGCAGCAATTGCGGTTTCGTAAGTGCCATGGAGCAAGTGGCGTGGTCCAGGGCCCACTCTCCACGGCGCCCCCAGCCCGCTCGGGTCGCCGTCCCTTGCAAATCGCATGTGAAGAAAAGGCAAGAAGGGGTCACGGCGTCGGACTGCGAGGACCTCTCTCGTCTCACCGCCGTGCTTTTTCCCGACCGAGAGGCAATTCGGATGCATGGAGCGCCGCGGCGGCCGGGGGCCCTGGATGGGGCCCAACAAGTGGATCTCTGGGCGGTGAGGACAGCCGCCGCCAACCGATGCTTCGCTTGTGCACCACCGCCCGGGCAGCGGAAGTCCGAACAAGTGGCTTTGTCAATAACGGCAACGCACAGCCCAAAAGTGTCGACCCGCGATGGCCCGCCCAGGCGGCGCGGCCGCGGCGGCGGGCACGGCAGGCGGCCGCGGTGGGGGAACCAGGTGGTACCGATGCCGCTCTTTCCCGGACCCGGAAGGGCTCTCGGGAGCGGCAAAGAGGGGGGTGATGACTAGGGGGGGGGGTGATGGCGCGGGCCATGATTGTTCCTCTGATTTCACGGCGCCTCCTCTCATTTCATTACGTCCTTGCCCCCCCCCCTCGGGCCGCGCACATGCCGCCGGCCATGATTTGCACCCCCCCCTCTTGGACACCCCCCTCTTGGCCGCCCCCGAGGTTCGGGACGGTCGGAGCCCTCGGATACATGTAATGTCTGACATCCGAATGCGCATGCCTATTGTCAACGTGGGGGCATGTCTCGGGCCGCAAGGTTCGCTGATTCGCGGAGCCTTGAGCGCGGAGGCGGCGACAGCAGGCGCAGGGGCAAATTCGGCGAACCCGCTTACAGTGTGGCAGCGTTGCGAAACAGGTCTTGTACCTGCCAGGTTCAAGCATCCCGCCCGGCTATTCGCCAGCGTGTCAGCGCGGGCCACCGCATCTCTGAGGGCAAGAAAAAATCGGGCCGACAGGTGTACCCGCGCGTGAGCGCATCAGGAAAATTGCCGGTGTCCTTCTCGCCCACCGTCCTCCTGCGCCAGCTCGCGCAAGGCGGTCGCCGCAACCGCCGCCCACGTAGCTTGCCCAGCGCGGGTTCCGGCTCAGTTTCGCAACCGAGTGGGCCTGCAAGCCCAAGTGCCGCCAGAGCGGCAACTGCGCGCTGCGAGGTGCTCGCCCGGCTGCTGTTGCTGCCTCCGGCGCCGGCGGCGCTCCGGCGAGGCGGCGAAGCTGCGGCAGCGGCTGGGCGCCGCAAGCCGCTAGCATGCGCCAGACCTCCACAAGCTCACGGGCGAGCTAGCGAAGCTGCGCAAGGTCCGCGCCCCTGGCGGCCACTTGGGCGGAGGCCGCAATCGGCGTCGCGAACTTCGACGACGAGGGTGAGTTGGACAAGGTAGATGCCACGGCCGCGACCGTTCCAATAACGCTTGGGGCATGACGACTGAGTTGCGCGCCCTGGTGGCGGAGGGCTACGAGGCTCGCGGAGACGCGGCCCGATCTCGCTGTCGCGCGGGTTCCGCGGCGGGCCGCGCCGCAGCTTTGCGGCGAGAAGCAGGGGGTGGCGGGTGCCCGCGAGGCGCGCTCGGGCCAACAATCGCGCGGATGGCAGGTGGCATTGCAGGCTCGGCGGGTGGAGCGGGAGGGGCTCGCCAAAAAAATATGTCGCAGTTTGCGATTGCCGCCGAGGCCGAGGCGGCTGCCCGCGGGGGGGGGCGCCGCCCCCGCCCGCCGCGCGGCAGTTCGCGCGGTTTCTGCCGCGCGCGCGGCCGCATCCGACGCGGCCGCGCTGGCCACCTGCGAGGCGCGGGCGGACGCGCCGCGGCCATCCACGGCGCCGCCTGAGTCCGAGCGTCTGGCTGCGCTGCGAGCGCGCGTCCTTGGCTGGCGAGCTGGTTGGCTGAAGGGCCGCTTCGCAAGCTGACGGGCTGGTTGGGAGGCTGGCCAGGCGGCTGGTGGCTGAGCGCGCGTTTGTTGTATTTCACAAGAGACCTTCACCAGCGCGCCCCTTCGTTTTTATGACGGAACGTACCCGCGGTGGCGTATATTAACAATTGGTGTTTCGAAAAGTCGTGGCCTCGGGAGCGTGGGCCCGCCGGCTGTCATCAGGGATCGCGGCTTCGGGAGTGCGCGCCCGTCGTATTCAAACTAGGAACCGCGAGGTGGAGGTGCGGAACCACGAAAGCAACGTTCTTCATCAGACGACCCGTGCTGGGGGAATGCGGACCCATTCGTTCCGGTTGCGCAAAAAAAGACCTGCGCAAAAGATAGTGGGTCCGGTTGCGCGGATCCACGGTTCGACATTCAGAAATGTGACCTCGCGAGCGCGCGTCCATCTTTCCTCAGACAGGGGGCTGCACTTGCTCGGGCTGCTATTCACAAGCGTCCTGACTAATTGGCCGTGTCTGCCAGGTTTTCGCCGCGCGTGCGCCCGTGCGCGCGTCTTGGGGCGCCCCGTGCGTTGAGTGGGTTTGCCAGCTGTTGGTGTTCCTGGGCGCCTCGTGCGCGCTTCGCGTGCTCGGTGGGAACGTCTGGTTTTTCCGCTGTTGGGCGTTCGCGGGCGTTTCGTTGGTTTTTCGGGCGATCGTTCGCTTTTCAGGACCCTCGCAATTTGCACGACCACAACACCGAGACCGCCGCTATCCGCCCCCACCCGCGCATTTTGTTCTCATTCATCACGGCCGACCGCTTCATCCTGAATGCCAATATGAGCTTGCTAACCGGGCGGATGTCACCGTTCCCACCCCCCCCGTGCACATGCATCAAACGCAGCACTGTTCAGGATCGTTGTTTTGCAAACGGTGCGATGCGGGACGCGCTCATTTCAAGGGGCCCCAGGACACACACATAAATACAGACAAATAGCATGATTCCCCATATTTTCCAATATTTGTTGTTTGTTTTGTTTTCCGGCCCAATTCCCATATTTTCCCATATTCGTTGTGGGGGGGATCGGCGATTAATTGTGTCAGTGTGTTTTTTCCCTCTCCTGCTCACTCGTTGAAACCATGATGGACGAACTTGGGATGTGCCCAACGTCTTCTCCACGCATGGTGGCTTTTTCTATACTCGCACAGCAAAGCATTACGACATGCGGTGCGGGGCGTTCCGACATGATTCGCGTACCATGTCTGGCCATGCGACTCGCGCATTTGCGCAGGAATGGGCCGTTGAGGATCGCGCCATGCGCTACGTGACGTGGTCGCGCGCTAAATGACGCGACGGCGCCACGCGCCATGTGGGCACGCGCCATGTGAGCGCCCTTCTCTCCGCCGTGCCTCCCAGGGGCCCACGAGCGTGGCGACGGTTGTCCAGTTCGCAACCCCCAAGGGAGCCGAGAGGCATGAGGTCTCAAATGTTTTGCGTTGCCCTCACCTCCGCCGTGCATCCAACGCACCCGCGAAACTGGCAACAGTTGCGCAGTTCGCAGCCACTCAGGGAGCTGCGAGGTCACACAGTGATCAGCGCTGCCCTCAGCTCCGCCGTGCCTCCCATGAGCCCACGAAAGTGGCGACAGCTGCGCAGTCCGCAGCCATCCAGGGAGCCGCGAGGTCTTGAAGTGATCGGCGCTGCCCTCCATTCCGCTGGACCTTCCAGGGGCCCAGGAAAGTGGCGACCGATGCGGAGTTGTCATCCACCCGTGCAGCCGCGAGATCTCGTCTGAATGCGCGTATATATTTCCGCTCCGCTGGACCTCTCAGGAACCCACGAAAGTGGCGACAACTGCGCAGGCCGCAGCCACCCGGGGAGCCGCGATGTCCCGTCTGGATGCGTGTACACCTCCACTCCTCTGGACCTCCCAGGAGCCCACGACCCTGGCGACAGTTGCGCCGTTCGCAACCAGCCAAGGAGCCGCGAGGTCTCCGCTGGATGCGCGTACACTTCCATTCCTCTGAACTTCCCAGGAGTCCACGGAAGTGGCGGCAGCCGCGCAGTCCCCAGCCACCCAGGGAGCCGCGAGGTCCTGGTTGGATGCGCGTACAATCCGTTAAACCCTCCAGGAGCCCACGACCGTGGCGACAGTTACGTTATTCGCAACTTCCCAGGGAGCTCGGAGGTCTCGGCCAGATGCGCGTGTATATTTCCGCTCCGCTGGATCTCTCAGGAACCCACGAAATTGGCGACAATTGCGCAGTCCGCAGCCACCCAGGGAGCCGCGAGGTCTCGTCGGGATGCGTGTCCACCTCGGCCCCGCTGAACCTCCCGTGAGCCCACGACCGTGGCGACAGTTTCGCGGTTCGGAACCGCCCAAGAACCGCGAGGTCTCCGCTGGATGTGCGCACATTTCCATTCAGCTGAACCTCCCAGGAGTCCCCGGAATTAGCTGCAGCTGCGCAGTCCGCAGGCCCAAGAATCAGCGCGGTTTCGCCTGGATGCGCGTACACCTCCGCTCCGCTGGACTTCCCAGGAACCCACGAAAGTGGCGGCAGCTTCGCAGTTCGCCGCCTCCCAGGGAGCACCGCAGTACAAGGCAGGAGGATGGGGGAGGAAGGAGAAGTATGAGTTGAGACCGCAGTGCTCTCTTCAAGATGGGATCCCAACACCGATGGGTTGGGGACAATTGGTGTCCAGCCATTCTGTCGAGTGGGACCATTCGGGCCACCCGCGCGCGATGCATCCGCGCAGCCTGGTAGCCGCCAGAAGAGGGGCCAGCGGATGATTCTGCGCAGATTATCTTGCGTAGCGGACTGCGTTGCCCCTACAATGACATAGAGCATGACGTTTGTGAACCATCGTTTGAAATAGACGTTGTGGTTCAGTTGTTTCAAAGGGACTGCAAGATCTGCTCGATGGCGACATGTGTCGGCGGTGGAAGGGCGGTAGAGCGGTAGAGCCTGTGTAGCGCAATGTTGTCCCATGGCGTTTGGAACGTTTATGCCCTCACGTATAACCGACATGGGGAGAGGAGAGGGAGAGATGGCGGGGCATTGTACCTCCCCCATTACCTCCCCCACCCCGTTCTCTTCATGGCCCCCCAAGTTCCCAAGAACATCTTGCCCCTGGGAACCTCTGGAACCTTCTATCCTCGAGCGACAGCAGCCGTTGTCGGGGGGCGATAACACTGAGATGTGCGTTCGCGGGGAGTCGCGGGATGGGTTTAGAAACGCCTGGGTTGAGAGCGGCTCGGGACAACGACGACGACGACGACCATTGACGTCGTACGAAACTATCCGGGGGCCTCCAAGCAGTGCGTATGATATTAAGGCATTGTGGTGCACGCAGGAATTGAGGTGTTGTGGTGGTCGCACACCTGTCTGCTGAAGCAAAATATTCTGCGGCGTGCGCAGGCGTTGTGGTGTACGTACACAAGCGCCATGGTGAACACAAGTGCTGTGGTGCACACGGCGGCTGTGGTGTACACTGGCACTGTGGAGTACACAAGCACTGTGGACTACACAGGAATTGCGGAGTAACTCCAGGAAGCATTTAAGAACCCCCCCCCCCCCCTCTTCCGGCAAATCGATAACCCTTCCGCACCCTGGAAGCGTTACCTGGCACCAGGAGCCCTCCTCCTCGTCCTCCTCATCCTCCTCCTCCTCCTCCTCCTCTCCTCCACCCACGAACTTCCTCCTGCCCCCTCCTCCTCCTCCTCCTCCTCCTCCTCCTCCCGCGCCCCCCTCCTTCCCTCGGGGCCCAAGGCCTGTCAGGGCCCAAGGCCTGTCAGGGCCCAATTTGTTGTGTGTCCGGGTGCTAAACCTATCGTGCGGTTATTTCGGCCCCTCGGAATATCGAATAAAAATGCGGTGCTAAGATATCGCCGGGGGGTTTCTTAAATGCTTCCTGGGGTTACATAGGCGCTGCGGTTCCCTCCAATTTTGATGCAGCAGCATCGTTGGTGTATTCCTGCATTGTAGTGTACGCAATCCTTCTGGTATTCACCGGCATTGTTGTTTATACAGGTTTTGTGGTGTATGCAGTCGTTGTGGCTCGCACGTGCATGGTGGTGCAAGCAGATGTTGTTGCAGCATTTGTAATGCACACTTGTACGATTGTGTACATAGGCATCGAGATGCACATATGTCGTGTGGTATGTACGTAGAGGCACAATTGCCCCCCCCCAAAAAAAAAAACAGTAGTACACAGTATCTTGGCCAGCAGCATTAAGAATGAAAAATATAGCTTTCATGTGAAATGTTGATTCGCTCAGGCTCCTTGCGATTTCCTGGAATTTGGCCCGTGCAGGACCCTGAAAGGGTACGCAGGCTTTTTGTGGTGCACGCAGGCACTGTGATGCACATGGTCTTTCTCTGGTGCGCACACACATGTGGCTGAAACAGCAGCAGTTTCGCACACGTGCGATGAGGTGGGGACACGTGCTGTGGTGCACAGGCGTTCCGGTGAACATCGTTGTTGAGGTATGCGCAGGCAGTGTTGTGTACACTTGCGCCGTTGTGCACATCGTGCCGCTGGTGTAGCAGCTATGGTATACAATGGCTTTGTGGTGTACTCAGTCGTTTGCTGTGTACACTGTTATACTGGCACTACGGTGAACACATACATTGTGGTGTACACAGGCATTGTGGTGTACACAGGCAATGTGATTTAAACATGCACTGTGTGGTGCACACAGACACTGTAGCGTGCACAAGCATTGTGTACGCATGCCCTGCAGCTGTGATGTAAACCAGCACTGTGGTTGTACACTGGACGAGGTGTACAGAGGCATTGCGGTTTACACGAGCATTGTTGTTCGCAGCAGCCCATGGGTGCACCAAGCATTGTGGTGTTCACGGCGCACGCAGCCATTGTGTTGTATATTGGCCCCAAAGGTCCTTCCCCGGGAAATTGTGGCGCGTACAGGCGCTACGTCCGCTGTTCGTGGCTACTCTCAGCAAGCCTCTTTCCTGTGCCTGGCTATCCCTGACATGCTAACCCTAGCTGTCCTTAGCTATCCCTAGGCATTCCCAGACGGCGCCAGCGCGACAGTGGTGCCAGTGACAGCCTTTTTCGTGGATGTGTTTGAGAAGCGCTCCCGTGGAACACCGCATACATCCTTCTCATCCTCTTCCTACTCCGCCTCATCCCCACCTCTCCGCCAACGGCTGGCAACGATCAAATGGAGGACGTCGAGGAGAGGGAGGGGTGTGTGGGGGGGCAGGAGGAGGGAGGAGGGGGTGGGAGAGGGGGACGAGGAAAAGAGGAGAAGGCGGGGGGGAAGGAGGATGGGGAGGGAGAGAAGTGGGGGGAGGAGGAGGAGGAGGAGGACGAGGAGGAGGACGAGGGGGGGAGGAGGAGGAGGAGGAGGGGAGGAGGAGGAGGAGGAGGAGGAGGAGGAGGAGGAGGAGGGCGGAGGCGGAGGAGGAGGAGGAGGAGGGAAGGGGAGGAGGTAGGAGGTCGGAGGTCGGAGGGAGGAGGGAGGAGGGCGGAGGGAGGAAGCAGGATTGAGGAGGGAGGAGGGAGGAGGGAGGAGCGAGGAGGGAGGAGGGAGGAGGGAGGAGGGAGGAGGAGGAGGAGGAGAAGGAGGAAGAAGAGGAGGAGGAGGAGGAGGGGTTCCGTTCCTACTCATGCTATTTCTCTTCCTTCTCCTCCCTCGCACAGAGAATTTTTTGGAACAGCCCAACTCCCAGGGCCCCACCCGATCTCTTCGTTTCCTCCTGCCCTTTCGATGCATGGGTATCTTGGACCTTCCACCCATCCTTTGGGGGGCCACTTTCCATCCCGAGTCTTTCCGTTGAAGGCCCCGAGCTTCGAAACCGGCCCCCACGGGCCAAAGCTGGCGACAAACGGGCTGCCTCTATTTTCGGAAGCGCAAGATGTCTGCCCATCAATCTCCCCTCTCCCGTTCCCCCCGCCCCGCACCCCCGAGGCCTCCAGAGATCTCCAGATTTCCTCGGGGCCTCCCTTCCTCAGGGGGTCCTCCGGAGGCCCCCGGCCGCTTGCAGGGCCAGAAACGCCGCAAAATTTCAATCGGCCCCTCGGACAGGCCCAGGACTGTGACATCGTGACTCTTTGTCAACGTGGACCCCTTCCCAGGGACCGCCCTTACATCCCCTTCTGTGTTTGGACGCCCCTGTGACGGCCTCCATGTAGACGAACATTGTCAATTTTATGTATTCGTGTTTTTTGGTTCACGACGCCAGGAGGGCACGGGAGCCCAGACATCCCCACACATCCGCGCCCCGCTGCCGCCGGCTCGTCCGCCGAGGCCCGCACCACCCCGTCCGCGGCAATCCTTGGGCCTGGTGGAGCCGCCCCCTCAATGCGCTGGGTGTTGCCAGAGGTGTCCCTATTTCCGGCCCAAGTATGGGTCCGAGGTTCGAGGGTCGAGGAGGAGGAAGACCTCGAAGCAGGAGGAGAAGGAGGAGGAGGAGGGGGAGGAGGAGGATGGTCAGGGGCAACGACAGGGTCGAGTTGCGAGGTTTCGGGGCGTTCTAGTCGGTTCTCGGTGGTTTTCCAGCCTCGGGATGCGTTCTGGCAGCTGCGCCTCGCGCGTTCCGGGGGTGCCCGAATCCTCCGGAGCGGATATTGGAGACCCGAGTTACGACTGAAAGCCAGATCTGGCCAGGGGCAACGACAGGAGGAGATAGGCTCGGGGGGGGGGACGCATCGATGGCCACTCGCCCATTCCTAGCCGAGGAGGGCCCGGTGGCCCGCCCCGCCCGGGAGCGTGCGGTTTCGCTGCCGGGGTCCGATCGTCGATGTGTGGGCGGTGTATCGCCGATTTCAGCTCGACGCTGCCCGCCCTCTGGGCAAACCCTATCGGGCGGGTCGGGTCGGGCGGGCGGGACACTAAACTCTGATGCGTATACAGTCTGCCTCCTTTCTCCTCCTCATCCTCCTCCACCTCCGTCTTATCCTCCTGCTCCTCCTCTCCTCCTCCTTCTCTTTCTCCTTTCATCCTCCTGTTCCTCCTCCTCCTCCTGCTCCTCCTCCTCCTCCGCTTCATCGATGATCTTCAGGACGCGTTGCAGCGCCTGCGTCGTACTGAACGGATTCGGTCGGCCCCACAGAAACCCCCCGGGAGGTGCCCACGGAACCCCGAGAGGCGCAGATGGCCTCCACAGGACCCCCCAGAAGGGCCCAAAGGGCTCCAGTCGGGAATGCCGAGGGGGGGGAGGGCTTTGGCGGTGCATGGGCGGGCCCATGACATCTTCGAAACCACATGGCCCATCTTTCAATACGCCCCCCAGCCTTCCCACATCTGCGCACACGCCTTGGGCCATGATGCGCTAATCCCCTTCTTCTTGGCACCCCTCTTCGGCGCACCTCGCGTCCCCAGGATTCCTCGAGAAGCCCTGGTGGCTTCCAGAGCGCTTCTCACGAGTCTCACAGCCCCCCCCCCACCAGATCTCCGACGATACCAGTTTTCTAATCCTGGCATCTATTCTCCATTTCAGGATCTGGGCAGGTTATCAGGCCCCTGTGCTATCAGAACGTATCCAGGACGAACAATTACCTCCAGGACGAACAAAATACCTCCGGGACTTCTGTGGCCGCGCGTGGAAGAATAATCATCGTCGGATATTTTGGACCGGGGCTCCAAAACGTCGCGCAGAGTTGGGAACACATTTGGTAACACCCGATCGTGCGCCCTCTCTGGTGAACAGTGGGTAGGGCTGCCTTAGCGCCCGGCGCGTATTCTCTCCCTCTACCTCCTCCTCTCTCTCTTTCTCTCTCTCTCTCTCTCTCTCTCTATATATATATATATATATTTATGTGTGTGTCTCTTTTTGTTTCCCTCTCTCTCTCTCTTCCATAAGAGGCATGTCCTTCCTTCGAGGTTCGGAGAGGGATGGGAGGGGACCAGGTGAGGAGGGGCAGCCTACTCGAGCAGCCTTCGAGGCGGGCAGCCTTCGGTGGACAGCCTGATTGTGGGTGTCTGCCTAGGAGAGGGGAGCACGCGTTTATGCGACGCCAGATGGTGCTTTGTGGCGTATGTATGGCATGCCGCTGGCCGCCCCGGAGTTCGGACCCCATCGTGATCATTTAGCGTTGGTACGCTCTTCCAGCGTAGCCACCGTGTTTGCTCGCAGCCCCACAGGTGAGCGACGAAGGACATCGGCTTCGTCTTCGCCGACACTGGCGCGTAAGTTGCCCGCCTAAGGCAGCGCTGAAGGGCCCTCGTCTTCGATGCGGCGTGCCGCGCTGGCGGCCCGCGTAAGCCGCGGCTTGAGGTCGCTATGCCATCTCGCGTAAGAACTGCTTCTTTTCGTCGCCCAGGTGTCGGCAACCTCGGCCATGTTCAAGCCGTGTCTTCCGTCAAGTGTTGGATGCGATTCGAGGCCGTCAGTTGTGTCGGTCCAGGGTCCTTCTCAGCTATTCTGCTGGCGGCGGGGCGTGGAACCAAGGGTGTCGCAGCTTGGGCCATCGAAAGACAGAAACGGCATGAGCATCATTTCTCTTCGTTTCACGCGGATTCCATGGATCTGCGCTGCACCCCCCTGGCAGTGCTGCTGGCGCCGCCCAGCGCCGATCCAAGAATTTCGCTCGGATGTTAGAGAAATTATGTTTATGCATTGTCTCCCCTCTAGGGGTATCGTGGCTTGGGCCATGTTTATTCACTTCTGAAGTTCTTATGGCATGCGAGCTCGGGAAAATGACATGGTGTTCCCGATCGAGCGCAGCCCGCTCTCGGCGTATCTGCTCTTTATGCGAATGGCCAGAGGCGCTCGAGACTCAACCGGCGGTGGCGCTTGCGACAAAGTGAAGTGGATCGCTTGAGGAGGAGGGCCCAGGGAAGGGAGGGGAGATGGACTACGACGAAGGCGACGACGACGACGACGACCCAAACAGAAATGCGTCGCACACATGCCGAAGTGTCGGCGGGCTTCTTTCGAACGGGATGGTGGACCTGCACACAGCAGACAATGTGCCAGCCCCTCCGCCGTCCTTAAACAAAAACACGGCCTCGTGGTCTCGGGGCGTCCCAGCAGGATCCACATGTTGTTGCAAAGCGCATTTCGTACTGCCTGTTGCATGGGACATTGCACGCATCATCCTCCTCCTCCTCCTCCTCCTCCTCCTCCTCCTCCTCCTCCTCCCCTCCTCCTCCTCCTCCCCTCCTCCTCCTCCACCCCCTCCTCCTCCCAACACGCCAGTACCCCCCACCGTCCCTGACAACACCAATGCACAGTGATCACGGGGCGTCCACGCATGATCCAGACTTTGATGCGAGGTGTACTTCGCACTGTTGTTTGCAAGGGATGGTGGGCGAGGTTCGTCATTGGCCCGGGCTTGTCGCCTGTCGGGTGGGGGAGCGGGTGTATATGCACGAGGAGCAGTGATCAAGGCACCTCAGACGCAAATTGTTTGACTCATTCCCACCCGCCCTCCAACCACATCAGTAGCCCCCGAGTCTCAGCATGTCGCCTGGGCGCGCCACGCATGTCATGTGTGCCACGGGTACAAGTGCACCAGGCACCCCAGAGGCCGAAGCGTTCCACGCGCGCCAGGTACGCCAGGGAATCACGCGGAGGACACCTGCAGGGCATCGCAGGCAGGTCCCCAGAAGCTTTGCGCAGACGGGACCGTTGCAGCGCACATCGTGTTCGGCATCGTATTCGGATAGGGATGGCGTGCATGCGCGCAGCTGTCGAACTACAAATTGACAGGCGTTGGCGGGCTTGCGTGCAGCAGGTAATGTGTCGGCACCCCCGCCTTCCATGTCAAATTCCAGTGCAGAGTGATCGCGGGGTCCCCGCACATGGTCCAGATGTCGTCGGAGAGTGTATCTGCTGTTGTTTCTTGACAGGCATGGTTGGCCTGAGCGCAGCAAACAATGTGCTGGCACCCTCGCCGCCCATGTCAAAAACGAATGCCAAGTGGTCGCGGGGCCCCCGCGAATGTCTTGAGATTTGGATGCAAAGTGTATTCTTCACGTTTCGCTTATCCCCACCAGCGCAGATGGCTACCTGGCTGGACGGGCTCTCGCGCCGTGGCCCTCGGCCGCTGGACGCCACCCCTCGTCCGTGGGCCAGGATTCGCTACGAGGTGCGTCTCTGTCGCGGCCAGGGTTTTGCCGACCTGGCGCTCCCTGGATGGAGGGCATTCCCCCCAGCACCGGGCCCGACGTCTTATCGACGGCCGCACGCCTACGTGGAAGGGGGCGCGCGGCACCGCATGCCTGTCCCGATGGGTTGCTGCAGAGACGTTCGGCGAGGCCGTTGAGTGACGCCGTTGCAGTGTGGTTTTTCGCGAATTCACAGCCACTTTGGCCTGCTATCTGGCCTCGCCTGTTCCTCGCGGGCGACGACTCGCACTTCCTGGACTTCGTTGTTCTCGTCGTCTGAGCTGCGTCGTTGTTCGCCACCGCCGTTCCATCTGCATTTCTGCCCGCCGCTAGTTCGCTGCGCGTGTTCGGCTTTCTCTTAGGCCGTAATTTAGATCGTAGCGTTGTTGCTTCGCTTCTTGACGGCGCGCAGTTGCTCTGTGTCGCTCGCGAGCAACAAGAATCCCCACCGGCCAAAAAACGCTGCTCTCTTGATGTCTCTCTTTTATTCTCTCCCGTGTGCAATGTATGCTCCTGCTTGTTAGCTGTAGCTTTGGACGGCGCGCGGCCCTTCCGTTTGCGCTCGCGAACAGCAAATCCCCACCAGCCCAGTCGGAAACCCTGCCGATGAGAGTTGACGGGGAAAAGGAACGAATTTTCACATACAGTGGAACGAAGCGGGCAACAAAGGTGAACGTAGAGATCTCTGGGAGCGAGGGATTGGCCTTGGAGGGCTTCTTCGCCCCATCCTTGGGGCTTTCATGGGGGCGAAGGAAAGAGCAGAAGGAGGAGGAGAACGACGACGACCGCGACGTCGAGGAATACGAGCAAGAGGAGAAGGAACACGATGAGGGCAGTGGCGAGGACGACGAAAAGGAGGACAACGATGACGAGGATGTATTTAAGCCCTCTTGGGATTTTTGATTGGGGGATCTCGGGGTTCCCCTGAGGTTTTTTTCCGGGGGAGGTCTTTGGACCTTCTTGAAAGGGCCTCGTGAGCCTATCGTGGAGGGCGCTGGTGAACGTGGGGAGGTCGTGAAGTTTGGCGCCCCCTTTGGGGCCATCCACATCGCATTTCGGGGCCCTCTTCTGGCGCTCCTGGGCCGTTTTTGAGCACGCTTGGGGCCGTCTAGGGGTCTATTGGGCCTTTCTTGGGCCTCTCGTTGGCCATTTCGGGGCCGTCTTGAAGCCCCAAAGGCGCATCGGAAACAAAATGGCGACAATGCGTACGACATTGATTTCCGCTACGTTGTTAAAGGCGTTTAACTTTTCGGGTGGTCACGAGGGGTCTCCGAAAGCACTTGGAACCGTCTTGTGGCTCTCGTTGGGCGTCTTAAAAAATGTCGGGAATTAGACTGAACCATTGTAGGCTATCCGGAGCCGCCTTGGAGGCCATCTTGGAGCACCGGAGGCCTTATTGGAGCCATCTTGAGGCCCCTAACCGAACGCAAGCCTTCCAAAAAGACTTCACAGAGGGGGGAAGTAAACCTCCCCGAATGGACGAGGGTTTTGGGAAGAGGAACTCAAGAACCCGCTAGACAACCGAAAGAGCTGATGATATTTTGGATTGCATGTCCGTCGGCCCATCACGCCACCGTGACTGAGTTGCGGATCTGAAGTTGATTTGGATGTTCATTGGGATCGCGTGGGAGGCCTCTCGGGGGCCTCCTGGAGGCAGTTTGGACGCCTCTTGGGGGCTGGGGGGCGTCTGGGGGTCTTTTTGGGGTTTCTTGGGGGCATTTCGGGGTCCCTTGGGGCCCTCTTGGGGCTTCTTGGGGTTCTCTTGGGAGCCTCTTGGGGCCCCCTGGGCGCCTCTTGGGGCCTCTTCGAGGTCTCTTGGGGCGGAAAACTCTGATTTTCTGATCCTGTTCCCTCTCTGGGGCCCCTGTTGGGGCCGTCTTTGGGCCCTCTTGGGCCGTCTTGGGCACCTCTTCTACCGACTCGGGACGCTCTTCGGCAGTCTTGGGGATCCCTTGGAGGCCTCTTGGGCCGTTTTGGGGTGGTCTTGGGTACCTCTTGGGCCGTGTTGGAACGTCGGAGAGCCGAGACGTCGAGAGCACCAAAATCTTTCAAACACCTAAGGCCACTCAGTGATTGTTGCCTCTTGGGGCTTCCTTGGGAGGCATCTTGGAGACCTCCTTGGGCGTCTTGGACGCATCTTGGGCCGTCTGGGGGCCATCTCGGGCATCTTGGGCCGATGGTTCGGGGATTCGGAGCCCTCTTGGACCGCTTTCGGGGCCTCTTGTGGCCCTCTTGGCCCGTCTTGGGGCCGCCTTGAACCAGGACAAATTCACGCGCCACGACTTCCCGGAGCCCAGGGGGAGAGCGACACGCCCCAGGGGGGCACCCGGCAAGCACCGCCGAATTTTGGAATTATGGGCCTGGGCCCCTTAAAGATCTGTGTGTCCGAGATGGGGTCGGAGGATCGCTCCGCATCGACGATGCATCGGCGATGCGGCTCGATGCGGAGCCCGATCTTCACGCCGACGGCACTGATGCATCGGCGATGTCGTCGATGCATCGCCGATGCATCGCCGATGCATTGCCGATGTGTCGCCGATGCATCGCCGATGCGGTGCAATCCTCCGACCCCACCTGCTCCGACACCATGTAGAAGGCCCCCTAAAAGACCCTTCAGGAGTGAGGATTGAAGCGTAGAGGACCACGCAAAGGACCTGAGGACACGCCCACATCCGTGCCCCCCGAGACACAGTGGCGGGCTCTTTTTTGATAAGGGGTGATGGTACGGGGCGGGGGTCGAGGTGGGTCCGGGTTCGCTGCCAGTCGGGTAAACAAACATTAGGTAATGAAGCGGGAGCAATGATCTGGTTGACCCCAAAAGGGGTCCATCGACAAGGGGATGGTGCAATAGATTTGTGGGGTTGCAATCGAATTGGGGCGCGCAATACATTCCAATGCGCAGATGGATTGCTGGGGTTTCGCGTGCTACACATTAGATGCAATGCAATTCAATCCATTTCTCTGGCGCAATACATTCGCAAAACGATTGCCCCAAATCTATTGCACCAACCCCTTTCAGCTGGACCCTTTGTGGGTCACGAGGAATTGATCAGGCTGCCAAAAGGAACTCCGACCCGCCCTCTCGCCAGATGAATAGCACCCGAGACTGGTCAACGTATGGACATCGATGGACGTCGATGGGGAACCAATGCTGACGCCAGGTGCGCGTTGCTCGCCAGGTCCGCCAGATCCAGATGTCCCAGGGGAACGTGGCGGAATCTCGCCAGGCCCATCCAGCGCACGATGCGGCAACGGGAGACAACGTGGCGAAACCTTTTCG